CCCCAGTATCCTAAACTTTCCTGTCAAAATGCCCCAACAATCCAGAAAGTATCTGACCATACGTAACTTTCCCATACCCTGCAACTGATACTTACCCAAGTCTGGGTTCCTGACCTCTAGCTCTGGCCCCTGATACTCAGCCACAGTCCTTTCTGCTTTTAAACCAATTATTTCATTTTAAAAACTATATCTCTGGGCCTTCCTTATGGCGCAGGGATTAAAGACAGTGTTATCAAGCTATTGGCAGCCACTGCAGCATGAGTTCAATCCCCGGTAAGCCAGGGAGCAACCCACATGGCGCAGCAGACCTGTCCTGTCTCACCTGCTGCTCCCCTCAGCAGTGTATTTCAGTAGATCTGCCTGTTCTGCTGCCCACTTTCTCTGGTGAATCCTCTCACCCCCACACCTCTGGCCTGTACCCCAGTTCTTGTATGCATAAATAAATAAATTAAAAAAAAACTATATTTCTTCCTCTTCTGCTGCATATTATTATTATTATTACAAAAGTGATACAGAATTTTCACAGAGAATTCAGAACACACGGGAAAACTTGGAAGAACTCAGCCCCTTAGATGTTTCAGTAGGAAGTGCCCATTAGGGGTGGGCAACCCTCAGTAGTTCTTTCCAAGACTAGGTATTATTTAGAGGCTCAGTGCTACACTGAAGGTCTTCTCTGCAGTCTGTGCTTGGGCAGGGGGGGCATGGTCCTCCATGGTTCCTGCCCCATCCTGCCTTCCATTGCTTGTGTGGTAGGCTCACCTGGGCTCCCTGGAGTTCCAGGCCTGGAAGAAGCAGAGTATACAGCCGGGCCCCAGGTGTGACTGTCTCTGGCACCTGAACGACTTCACCAGCTGGCCAAAGTGGAGGTCAGTGAGGCTCTGTTCAGGTCATGCCTGCCCACCCCCCTGCCTACCCTCACCTGGGCTGGCAAATCGGCCACATTGGACATGACTAGGGTCCTGCTGCACATCCACAGAGAGTAGTCCATCTGTCACATAGTTGCCACATGTGTACCTCAGCTGCAATTTATAATGATTCACTGCCAAGGCATCCAGACGGGCCGAGCTGCTCAAGGTCATCTGTGGCAAGTGGGCAGTGCCATGTGGGGCCTAGGCACTCCATCCCCTCAACCCCACTTCTGGTTTTGTGAATTTAGGATCTTTCTTTGTTCTCCCACAGTCCCCTGCTGTGCCCATGACCCTACCTTGGCCAAATACATCCCCTGCCACCTGGCCAGGCTGGGTGGGTTGAAGAAGGTGGTAGGTGGCTGCACATGGAGCAACTCCAGGGTGGGCGTGTAAGAAGAGCAGTTGAAGGAGAAAGTCTGAAGGATGGCGCCAGGCCTCTCGCTCTCAGAGACATTTATGAACCAAGGCAGACAGTAGAGGCCTGTGATTGAGAGATGATTCAGGCAGGAGGCCCCCATGCTCATGGACCCACACACGTGAACAAAATCCTGCCCTTATGCATCAGGGCCTGGCCATGTTTTGGGGCCAAGCAGACAAAATTCTTCCTCATCCTTCACATTCAGACACAAGTAGCTCATTTCACAGATTGAGAATGAAGACTTGGTCGATTAAGGACTTATTCCAATATAAGGAATGAAGGTGGGGGTTCAGATTCTTGCCCTTCCCTAGCTTTTCCTGCCATTCATGGTAGCTTATCTGAAAAAGATTGGGACTCTACTAGGGGAGGAGAGGTGGGGTTTCCCCACCCACCAGCTCCTCACCAGAGACAACCAATGCAAGCAGGGCCAGGGACCTGAGCAGCAGCATAGTGGCCTGTAGATACCGACAGCAGAGAAGGCTCCTGAACATTCAGTGTGTGTCAGGCTCACCCGTTGCCAGGTTAGTTGCTGAAACACAAGGAGCAGCTGGGACTCCTGGGCCTCCCAAGTTCCGACTCCGCCCATCCTGGTGACTGAACTCTCCACCCTAAACAAGCATTAAAAGGGCCAGAAACCCCTATTTTTTCATTTTTTCCAATGAATATCCCCATTTATTACCACATCCCAAAGGAACTATAGAAAGGATGACGCTTCTGACGTGGAAACTAAGACTCAGGAAAGTCTCGTTCATACAGTCCTTAGAGACCGAACAAGCAGAGCACATAGGAAAAACTGAGTCAAGGACGTGTCTACATACCACCCCCAGCCCAATTAGGACATTACCTGCATACAAAATCTGAGCCCAGCTATCAACAAAATCTCTTAAAAGTTGTCTCCATTCAACAAACAAAAGGAATCCTTGGTGACAGAAATCAAGAGTGGTTATTTTGGGGGATGTCAACTGGAGGGTATAGTAACTAAAGTAACTCCCTGAAGTGGCTAAGGATGTTCTACATCTTGTTCTGGATGACAGTTGCATAAATATGTACAGATTTTAACATTTATTGAACTGTGTCTTTGAGATTTTTCCATTTGTTGTATTTATGTTACATGTCAATTTTACAAATTGCCTAGTCTTGCTCTCTCTAGCTTTTTTTTTTTAAGATTTAATTTTATTTATACAGGAGCTGAGGTACAGGCCAGAGTCACGGGAGGGTGAGAGGATTCACCAGAGACAGAGCGGGGAGCAGGACAGGCAGACAGACCCAAGGCACTGCTGAGGGCTGCATCAGGTGACACAGGAGAGGTCTGCCTCGCCATGTGGGATTCTCCCTGGCTGGTTGGGAATTGGGAACCAGCGCTGCGGAGGCTGTGGACAGTTTCACAGCGCTGCATTCAACCCGCTGCGCCACCAGGGAGGCCCTCTCTCCAGCTCTTCACTTCACACTCTCTCACCTACCCATACCAGTTGAGCTTGTCCCTTTCTTTCCTTTTTTTAAAAAGATGTATTTTATTTATGTATTTAGGCATACAAGGTGTAGGCCAGAAGTGCAGGGGGTGAGAGGATTCACCAGAGACAGAGCGGGGAGCAGAACAGGCGGATCTACTGAAACACACTGCTGAGGGGAGCAGCAGGCAAGACAGGAGAGGTCTGCTGCACCATGTGGGTAGCTCCCTGGCCAGGGATCGAACTTAGGCTGCAGCAGTGACAGCGCTGAGACTCAACCCTTTGTGCCACCAGGGAGGCCCGGAGCTTATCCCTCTTTCCATGAAAGAATTCGTGTCAGTGTCCTCAGAGACCTGCATACTGCTGAATTCAGCAATTCACTCCCCAATTATGCTTCCCTGGTGGCACTTGCCACTTGCTCCCCTGGGCTCCTAAGTGCCCATACTCTCTCAGGTTTCTCTAACTTCCCTGGCTGCTCTTGCTTAGCTTCATTTGCTGATTCAGTTTCATCTTCCCTGCAACCACTCTATTTCCACTCCAACCACCAGGTGGAGTATTCTAGGCCTCAGTCTTGACTGTTGCCTGCCTCTGTCTAAACTCACCGCTCTCATCCTACCTCCCACTTGCTTTGCCTCGCAGATTCAACATTTCAGTGCTGATCTGTCTCCCAAGCTCAGAGCAGCTGATCTCGAATCTCCTCTTGGATAGTTAATCTCAAGGATCATATGTCAACAAATGGCCATTTTATTTTCCTACCTGAACCCGCTCTTCAGTCTTTCTTGTATCAATTCACGGCAATTCCACCTGACCAGTCACTCATGTTAGAAATCTAGGTACTGTGCTTGTTGTTCCTCTTTTCCTACCCATATTCATGCATCAGTAAAACTTGATGTTAGCTCCAAAACATACCCCTCCATGCATCTGACCCATGCAGGTCCAGGCTCATCCCTCCATTGCTAAGGCAGGAGCCTTCACTCTGACTAGAGTGTTTCTCCCAAAGCATCTGGGATTATCTAAACAGGAACCAGCCCAGATCATTCCCTGCTCAAAAACCCCTCATTGTTCCCCACTGAGTAAGAACAAAACCCCATATTCCTTTCTAAGTATGCTAAGAGCCTGGCTGCTCCCTCAACTATCACCATCATAGATACCTCGATCTTCTTGATGCTAAACCCCCCTCAGTTCCTCTCCCCTGAGGCTTTTAACCGGCTGCGCCCTCCACCTGGAATGCACCTCTGCATCTCCCATGATGGCTCATCCTGATCTTACACAGAATGCCCCCTCCTCTGAGGCGCCCCTCTCCCAAGCTAGTCTGTCGCCTTTATTCCCTAATCCAGGTATTTTTCAGTCACTGACTTTGTCTCTAGTTAGAACCGTATCCTTGAACCTAGCTTCCCGTCGTGGAGCGGCCTTGGGGAACAGGCTCTGAACTTTCTGGCGGGAGAGCGCCGCCCTAACCTCCTTCACTCACTCGGAGTCTGCACGTGGTGCCAGAGCAGAGGGGATCCCGGGTCGTCGCGGGGTAGCAGCTGCCTCCAGCAACCCACTAGAGGGCGGCCCAGCCTCGCTCGGCCCAAAGGCAAACGAGGGCCCTCCCCGGTGCTGCCGCGACGTCCAGCGCCCCCGGAGTCCTCAGAAGGCCGAGCCCCTCCCTTTACTTCCAGGGATTGTGGAGGCCGGCTCCAGAAGCGGATCTAGAGGGTCGGGCCCCAAATGGGCCACAGCATGACTCGGTCCGACGACTGGGGGCGCTCTCCCGCGCACTAACGCGGCTGGCGCTGGAGGGGCGGCAAATGTACCCGTGGAAAATTGGGGAAGCCGAGGGGGAAGCGGCTTGTCTGGGGTCGCGCGGCGCACCCAGTCAGCTTAACTTCCCAGGGAGTCGGGGAGTCCGGGACCCGGCCTCGCCCACCTTTCTGATACAGTGCGGGCCGTCCAGGGCCGGCGCGTCGTGGGGAGTGGGCGTCCAGCGCCCGCACCCGGCCGGCCCGAGGGGCGGGCCCACTTTAGCTCCGCCTAGGCCCCATTGGTTGCTGCTTCAGGGGCGGGGCGCGCCTGCCAGATGTTGGGGCGGCGGTGGGAGCTACGGAGAGCGAGGAGCTGTGGAGTTGGCTGGAGGGCGAGGGCGCCGCTGGCCGGCCCGCCGGGCCCTCTCGGCGCCGCTCCCTCTGAAGTTTGAGGAGGACCTGGCAGGCCTGGCGGGGCTTCGGCAGGGGCATGCACAGCGCTCGGCTTGACAGCTTCCTGGGCCAGCTTCGCTGGGAACTGGTGAGGCTTGGGAGCGGGGTGACTTGTGAAGGTGTGTATGGGGGTGCTCGGGTGCCCTGCTGTTCGGCCCTAAAGACACACGGTTGGGGATCTCGTCCAAGCGCCCATCTAAGGCGGATGGGGGTGGGGTGGCGCAGATGGCCCAGATGGCCCGAGTCGGGTTTCGGACGGTTGGGAGCTGAGTTGGGCATCAAGTAACAGCCGCCCAGCTGGCCTTGCTATTGGGGCTGCAGGGGAAGTTAGGGGGGAGAAATTTCTTTTGGGGTGGAACAGGAGGTGACCAGGGACTAAAGAGATGTTGGTGCTGCTAAGGATTTCCCCTACCCTAGGGTGGTCTGTACCATCTTCCTCTCCCCTTCATCTAGTACTCTGCCCTCTGCAAGACAATGTGGGCTTTGGGAGCTGAATTCCCCGAGAAGCACAGGATCCCCCCCTCCACCTCCACCCTCAGCCCTGAGTAAGACTACTTCCCCATGCAGGCCCGCAACCCTGCCTCCCGCCCTGGTGGCGGGTGCGGACTTGCCCAGCTCTGCGTGCTGCAGCCTGCCGGACTGCCACCAGGTCGGCTGATGTGAGCCACACGAGCTTCGTGTGCCAGCGCCCCCATGCAGGCTCTGTGCCCACTCCAGGCCTTGCTGCCCAGGTCTGCAGGCATATCCAGACCTCTTAGGCCTTCTGTTCTGGAATTGGGCTGTCCGGGCAGCAGGAGTGACAAGCACTGCCCCTCGGACTTTTGCCCTCTCTTCTTCTACAGCTGTGTGGCCGGGACACAGGCTCGCCCCCGATGCCTGGCCCTCTACCACCACCCCCCAAATCCGGCCCAACTGTGCGGCTCAGCCACCACCGGCTTAGGGCTTCAGATGCCTTGGAAGAGGACTCCGTCTGCTGTGTGGAGGAAGAGGAAGAAGCTGTGGTAACAAGAGACAGGAGTGTGGCCTTGGAGAAATCCAGAGAACATGCCCTGGACTGGGACTCTGGCTTCTCGGAGGTGTCAGGCAGCACATGGAGAGAGGAAGAGCTTCCCACACCCCAACAACCAGCACCCCCAGTGCGGCATCCCCATAGACAGCACCTCTCGGCCAGTGGCATCCCCCTGCCCAGTGGGGCCTCTGTGACCAGTGCACCACCTGCCCACCGACCACGGCCCAAGTCCACCCCAGATGCCTGCCTAGAGCACTGGCGGGGGCTGGAAGCTGAGGACTGGACAGCAGCCCTGCTGAGCAGAGGTCGCAGTCGCCAGCCCCTGGTGCTGGGGGACAATTGCTTTGCTGACTTGGTACACAACTGGATGGAGCTGCCTGAGGCAGGTGGTGAGGGGGACAATGGGGGTGGGCCCCGTGTCCGTGCTCGGCCCCCTCAGTTCCTGCATGGCCTCTCTGAGCAGCTGCGGCGCCAGCTGGCCAGGGCACGGCGGGCAGCCATGGCAGGAAAGCGACTGTCATGCCCACCTCGCCCAGAACCCGAACTACCTGCAGACGTCTCACGCTTTGCAGCTCTCATGAGCTGCCGCAGTCGCCAACCCATCATCTGCAATGATGTTGTCAGCTACCTCTGACCCTGCCCTCCAGCCTGGGACAATAAAGGCCTTTCTCTGGACTTTCCTGGTTCCATATCCCTGAAGCTCCAGGAGGCAGCCCAGCTCATGCAAGGCACAAACCAGGCAGGCAAATCTAAAGAGCCTTTTCCCTGCCTGTAGGGGTCCCTCAGGCCCATGTCACAACCCATGTACTTTATTACCCCATGTTTCATCACCCATCCTCTCTACTTATACTTTGCTTCAGTGAGCATTTATTGAGCGCCTGCCATGGCCTCAGGATGCAGGACTTGATAGGGCTGGGTGGTGGGTTGCTGCCTTGTCACAGTTCATAATGCAGGGGTGGGAAGGTAGTGTCCTCTTCCTCACCCTCACAACTGAACTCCAGTTTCAGCATCCGCTGCCCGGACTCGGGCTCCTGGCCTGTCTCCTGCTGCACCAGTTCTGTCACCCTGGTGGCATGGGGGGGAGGGGATAAGTTGAGGGAGATGAGGTAGGTTAGCAGTGGCAGACAGAGAGTTACTCGGCCTGGACTAGAGGGTGCCGATTGGCTATAAGGAGCCCAAGCCAGGAGCAGGAGCAGCTCAAGACAGGAAACATCTGAAACTATTTTAGGAGCTGCTGACTGGGAGGCCAGGAGGCAGGAAACTGCGAGTCCCCAGGGAGAGGCTGTGAAAGGGGGGCTAAGCGGGGTGTGGAGGAGCTGGTGGGGCTGGCCAAGCAGCAACTTCTGGAGGCCCCTCCTCAGGCTCTCAGCCCTTGCCCCACCCACAGTCCATTTGCTGGCTCCATTTGGCAAAAGAAAACTTCAGGAAGGTGTGAGGGGGCCGAAATGGGGCTGAGGTGAGGAAAGTCTGCATGTCTCCCACCTCTAATTTCCAGGATACAAAGAGACCTGACTATACCCAGGTGTAGACTCACCTGAGGGGCAGATGCTTGGCCTGTTTTTCGGGTGACCACCTTGCTGAATAGAGCATGGTCTGGCCGTACAGCAGCATCCTCACCTTCAGCTTGTGTTGTTCCTAGAGAGACAGACAGGTCAGGTGTCAGCTGGGCCAGGCTGGGCCAGGCTTGGAGGTAGGGTAGGAATGGGGCACACCTGGAGATAGGCCAGCAATGACTCCAAGGTCCTTTCAGGCTGCCCAGCAGGCACCTTCAGATGGTCCCAACAGGTCCACCTCAGGTCATGAAACTGGGAGGAAGTAAAGAGGAAGATCGAGAAACTTCTCACGAGCATACCCTCCCCCTCCCCCAGTTACTAGCAATTGATGGCCACTTTTCTAGGGGAGGAGCTGGACTCCGGGCAGGAAGCAGAAGCCAGGGGGTGGGGGTAGAAGGTGGGCTCTGGGCCCAGAGTCTCAGCACCCTCGCGCCCATGCTGGGGCCAGCACAGGAAATGAGGCTATGGGGCCCCCGCACAGGGAAACAGGCTATCCATCACACAGGCTAGCTGTGTGTGTGTGTGTGTGTGTGTGTGCATAGAGGGGGTGGTGCTTCCTGAGGAAGCTAGAGCAGGGCGCTGCAGTCTCTGATAAATCTGCTTGTTCCTCAAATGCAAGACTGATGGTTGTGGGGTACATCCCGTCCCCTCATCCTGTGCTGCCAGGATCTTGGACTACTCATGGGCACACAGGGGCATGAGGTATAGTGACCATCAGGGCCCAACTGGCCCAGAGATTTCAACAGGGACACATCCACAGAGACCTCTTGTACCTGTCCCCCTTTTCTTCCCTATTTCAATTGTCTTGGGATTCTGATGCTTGGAGCGGAAGGGAGAAGGGTGGCAGGCAGCCAGAAGCCAAGATACTGCCCCATAAAAACACAATCAAGCTGAGATGATGAGGCGAGAGAGGTGAGATGGGGGACCCTTCCCCTCCCCCTCCACCATGGACAAAGGCAGCTTGTGTGCTAGCTAGGGGCTGGGCCCCTCACAAAGGGACTCTGTGTGTTGTGCCCTGAGGGACCCCAGAGCTGATCACCAAAAGCCCAATGCTGGCCCATGACCTCTCTCTTCTTCCCCTGGTGAGGGCACTCTCTCTGTCCCTCTCCTGAGCCCCAAGGAAATGCCAACTGTTACAGAACCTGGGCACACAGCCAGGGACATCCATCCACTACCCTGCACTTGAGGAAACACACATGCACACAAACCCAGGAACACTGGCATGTGTCCTTACATCCATATCCATGCAAACCCACATGGAAGGAGAAGCATGCACTCCCATCTGGCACACAGATGTGTGAGCTTACCCCCTCCATGCCCACACACCGCTGAGCCAGGGATCCCAGAGCTCAGTGCCCTTACACCTGTGACACGCATGTGCACCTATCCACAGGGCTTCAGACTCCACACCCCTGGTGGTCTGCTCAGTGCCCTTTAATTCAGCTTGGAGAGGGTGGACCAGGATCCCCAAGCCATGCAAGCAGAGGTTAGGATCTGTTTGGGGCTAAGGCCTTAGTCCCCCCTCCCTAGCACCTCCCCCTCAGGGTCACTATTGGGAGGAGGGGGCTGTGGGAAATGTCTGGCTCCACTAATGAGTTAAAGCTGCAGCTCCCCCAGACCCCAGGCAGCAGAGGGGCGGGGGTTGGGGGTGGGGGTGGCTGACGGCTGCTTCCTGTGTCTGACAGGTCCCAGCCTGGCTTTGTAGCAGGAAGGGGGCTGGAGGGAGTCTTAAGGACTCCCCCAGAGTAGGAGCTGTCTGCTTGTCTGGGAAGGTGTAGGTAAAACCCAGGTCTGGTATAGGTGGAGTATCAAGGACTCACCTTATGGCTGTCTGGAGCACAAGGTACCCAGCGGCTAAATATGTTTTCAGCCAGTTTCAGATAGCTGTGGCGAAATGCACCAAGGGGCCTTGGCCCATCCACCACCTTGTACAGCTCCAGGCCCAGCAGGCCTGCCACAGCTGCTGTAGTGGTGGCAATGGCTGGAATAATCTGGCCCACGATTCGCTTGCTCTGCCAAGAACAGGAAAGACCCAAGGAATAGGGCTAGGATTTGATCCCCATCTCCAGGCCTAAACCCTGAGGGTCAGGGTTACCTGAGCACGGTTGGCTGGTGGGATCCCATAGTTCTGAGCACGCAGATAAGCCGCTGCTGCCACAAAGTCCATATGGAAGTTGCTGTCATCGTCCTGTGAGGCCCAAGTGCCAGTAATGCTAACAGTGCCCCAGTGCACCAGGTTGATCGTGTGCCATTGCACATGTCTTCACACAATTAGATAAAGTCGATACTCACATCTCCCTACTTATCTGAGGCTGAGGCTCAGGGAAGATGAGTCACTTCCCAAGTCCTACTAGGAGAACTCAGGCCAAGGGGCTCCAAGCTACCTTCTTAGTTCTTGGCCTTCCCCAACAACCTCCCCAGTCAACCCTTCACTCTGACTTGAGCTCCTACCTTCTGAAACATCAGGGGATTCAGGGGAGGATGCTTCCTCCACACTTCCAGGGCTTCATGCAATTTGTTCAATTTCTCAGGACCTGTCAGGGGAAGGGGGTGGTAGGGGAGCTGTAGGCCCCCATCGCCTACACTTCCTGGAGCCTGGTGCCTATTCTTAGTCTCCACTAAATCTGTCATTTACCACTCTAATGGAGACCCTTTGATCGATACTCAGTCTCCTTCCCAGCAGCTCTAGCCCTCACCCATGTGTGTGGGCCTGCCTGTGTGCCTCTGTCCCCACCTGAGGGCCATAGCTTGGTGCTCTCTAGGACCCAATGGTTAGTGGGGTATTTTTTGATGAGGATCTGCCAAAGGAACGGGATAGGGGCTAGGCAAGGAGAGGGCATACTGAGGGGTCAAAGGAAGGGCCCAAGCCCGAGAAAAATATCGGAGGGTATGAGAGGTAGTGAATTGGCTGCAGGGCCCACAGGCCCCATCTTACTTCTGTAGCAGATAGAAGACAGGTGAGTGGCTACTTGGGGGAGGGGGATCTAGGGGCCTCACCAAACTCTGTGGAATCCTGAGCTAGCTCCAGGTCACTCGTGAAGGAGACAGCCTGGTGTTGGAGGCCAGACAGTGACTGCAACCTCAGCCGTTCCCTGAGTTCATTCTGGTCTTGTGAGCCAGGCAGCCCATGCATTTGGGCGTAGAGGTTGGCAGCCGCCAGCACGTAGAGGAGGTGCATGTCCTGCAGTCAGACCAAGGATGCAGTAGCTGCATGGGTATGAGTGAGCATGTACGAGTGCATGGGGTAGGGAGGTCTCTGCCATTTGTAAATCTGTTTTTGTGCTTGCCTCTGCCTCACATGTAGACCCCCACATGTGCACAGACATGACTGCTTCTCAGCATTTGCAGAAGACAGAAGTGCCCACTTCTGCTCTAAGGGGCCACATTCCCATCTCAGGGCTCCCAATGGACCTCACTCACTTGGTTGGGATCAAATTCCAAGGGCTGGGGACACTGTTTGGGACCCGACCAGAAGGAAGTTCCATCCTTAAGCACCTAGTGAAATGGAGGCTGTTGGGCTCAGTCTGGTCCCCTGAACCCTCAGCCTCCTCACCCCTAGTAACCCACTTCATCAGGTGGGAAGTGCTTCAGCAATTGCCTGATGTGATGATGGAAGCATAGCTGCCAGTGGCCAAAGGCCCACTCCACACAGTCTTCCCAGGTTTGTGGACGCTTTTTCAGTTCACCCAGTACCGCCTGCAGCAGGGTCAGCCTCTGTGTCCCATCTGTGTCTGACAGAGAGGAGAGTTCCCTGCTGAGAGAGAAGGAAGTTTGAAATTAAAATCCTGAAGATTCTGGTGCTAGGGCCCTGGATTCCCATGCAGCCCTATTGGTGGCCTTACCATTGGTACCTGTTGATGGACTCGGCAGAGTGATAGAAGAGTCCTTCAAACTGATCCCGAGCCCACTGTGGGGGGGGGTTAGGAACAATGAGGTGTCAGGTGAGGAACAGGCTTGCAATTGAAGGCTAAGCCAAGTCGGGTAGGGGTCTTTAGGGTGCTCCCTACCTGCAAGGTGTGCTCGACTGTGCTGGGGAAGAGCCGTATAGTGCAGAGAGGATAGGGGTCATCCTCAGAAGCTGTAGAGGCAGGGGCTTCATAGGTCTTAGTCACGTGTGGTATGAATACTGAAGCGCTGCCTAAGGTGCCCTGTGTGCCCGCCTCCAGCAGTGGCTTCAGATAGTAGGTGCAGCGAGCAGCTACATAGTGCCCTGACGGGGGGCAGAGGGTCAGGAGTGGGGCTGGCTCAGCCTTGGACAAGGGGCTAAGTCCAAGGTTGAGTACTCACGGGCCTCGAAACTATCTAGAGCAGCAGCCACACCATGCACCTCAGAGAAGAATTTGTCCCCAAAGATGTGCTCTGTAGTGGGATCCAGTGGGAAGGTGAACGGGGTCACCTTCAAGTCTGAATTCAGGCATTGTGCAGCCTCTGCAGCCACTGTGGCCTTGGGCTTCTAAGAAAAGAGTAGGGAGAGATTGGGTAGGGAGGGGAGGACAATCCAGGACATGGGTGTGGGAGGGACCAGCACTCACCCCAATGTCTTGGGATCTGAAGAGGAACTGACGGCTGAGGTTGGAGCGCTCTATGTAGTCCATGTCAGCAACAGTCACGCCCCCGCTGCCCCCGGCCCCCAGGCCAGTGAGGGCAAACCCTTTGAGCAGCTCGCAGCCAATTGCACCAGCACCAACCTGCCAGCAGGAACAGCCTTATCCAGAGGGCCTGAAATGGCCCTCCAACAAAAACTCACAACCTCACCCCACAACTCACCAGGAGGTAGTGCTGGTCGCGCAGCTTCTCCTGAAAATGAGCCCCAAATACTGCGATTTGCCCATCATAGCGGTAGCCTCTCTGGGGGACATAGAAAAAGGGCAGTGATGGCCACTGGCCTGTGCACAGCATCTCCCCCTTACACAGGATCTTGGGACTGTTCTTTTGGTTTCCCAATGGCATGATGACCCCAGGTTCTCACCGGTGCACAGTCCTCAGGATTGGGAAGGGACTTCCCATCTTCTGGAAGGCAATCTAGGGCATCAAAGTACAGCCACTGGTCCAGGGGCTTGAACTTCTTGGAGATTGCCTAGAAGCCAGCATTTCAGTCAGGGGACAACTGTCACCTCCTAATTCCCTTAGCCACTGGCTGGGGACTGCACCCATATTGGTGGAAACTCCAGGGCTGCTGTCTGGTGTTGGGCACACTCTGGCACCCATACTGACCTCTGTAACCTTCCCGACCTGACCTTGCTGTGACCATACCTACCTTCAACACTTCTTGGGCAGTTACTGCACCCAGTATGGCTGCCATCGGACTCAAATGACCACAACTACTCAGGGCGACTGTCCGCACCAGTGCCTCATCCAATGGCTCGCCCCTTGTCCCCTTCAGTGGTTCCAGGGCCTTGGCCAGGTTCACCACCACCTCTGCATCACCCTGCGGGGTAGAACTCTGTGGGCACAGCAGCCCCAGCTTAAGCTCCATCCCCCACTCAAATCTTTTAGGGAGCCATCCACCCCATCCCACAGAGGGAGCAGAAACATATTGCTAGACTGTAGAGAGTATCACCAGAGGATGCTGAGAGCCAGACACTCAAACAATAGCCCTGGAGGCTTCACCGACCAGGGTGCAGCTTCAGGCCTAGATCTGAGGGGTTAGAAGGTAGCAAGAGTCCCCTGGCTTTGTGCACCCAGCCTCCTATCTGGAGATATTATCATCATTTTTTCACGTGTGGGGAAACTGCATCTGGGATTCAAACTGGATCTGAGATGATTTGCCTCCTGGCAGGTAAGACCCAAGTACAGGCAAGAAGAGAGGCGATGGGGTCACTCACAGGATCCCAGGGCTGGGGCAAGCGGCCCTTGAGGTGCTGGAACTTGTGCAGTGCTTGGAAGGCTTTGTGCAGGCAGTGAGCGCGGTGAACTTTCTGGGGACTCTGGGCTACCACCCGGGGCTGGAGCAGTGCTGTATCCAGAGGCTTCTGCAGGGTGGAGGCACTTGCTCCAGGGTCAGGTCTAAACACTGTGGCCTTGAGGTACCCACACTCCCCCATTTCCAATACAGTTGCACTCACATGGCTCACGATCTCAGGTCTCTTGACCTCAGTGACAACCCCACCACGCAGGTAACAAGAGAAAGATGTTGTGTCCCCAATCTCCAAGGTCCTGTCTCCTGAGAGAGATCCAGCCTCGTCACTTTAACCCCTGAACCTGAGTACTTCCTTACACACCATCCTGATTTGTGTCTGTGTCCTTGATCTTGCTCTACCCGAAGGAAGATGGAGGAAAACCGAGCCGCTAGGACCAGGTTATGTCCTCCAGGGCTTGGACACTAAGTCTGGAGTAGGAGTGGGTTGGCTTACCCTGCACACGGATAGAGTGGGGAGCACAGCCGTTGAGCTCCACCATGCCTTCAATGCCTGAGAAAGTCACCAAATCCCCATCTTGGAAGCGGTGGGCATCAGCCTCTGTCCTCAGAGTGACAATCCCAGGGGAGCCCTGGATAAGAGGTGGCATGTTTGAGAGGTGCCTGTCCCTGCCTTCCACAGGCTCAGGCAGCCCCTCCATGGTCAGCAGGTGAGTGCCCACACTTTAGCACCCACCTGGGAGATGTGTTTGATAGCGGCTGTCAGGCAATCTGCCTCTGTAGGGTCCTGTACTATGAAGTGCTCACCAAAGTCACAGAACAACTGCCTGTGGTGGGGAGTATGGGTCATTGAGGTGGCTTGATGGTTAGCCACCTTGTGTTGTAGTGAAGGGTGGAGGACATCAGGTCAAGCCTCGAGGGCCAGAATGAGAAAAGGAATGCTGGGAAAGGTTTGGAAGCTGAGGTGTGAGGGAGTTGCTAGAGAAGGTTTGGAGACCAGGGTAGAGGAAGCAGAGGGGTAGGACTGGGACCAGAATTAGGAGTGGATTCTGGGGCAGGTCTGGGGCTGGGTAGAGCAGCACCGAAGCAAGCTGAGAGCTGGGGACCAATTGCTATCTATAAGTGGCAGGTAGGCAGGGAGTCTCACGCACCCCACAAGGCCCCGGGTGTCAGCTACCAGAAAGCAGATTCCATGGTTGTGGCAGAAGGTGCCCACCTTCAGCTGCTCCTCCAGCTTTGAGGCAGTCAGCACTACCACCTGGGTGGACATCATGATCAGCAGGGCCAGAACTACTTACTGCTCAGCCCATACTTTTAAGAGCCAAGGAGGGATGAGATTGGCCCAGAGAGTAGGGCTGGGAGGCACCTGGAAGTTTTGTAGCAGGTCCTCAGTGATGTCACCTTTGTGGACGCAGACCTGAACAGCTTCATTGAGCTTAGCTACAGGTCCTCGAGATGCTTCAGCCCTGTTCTTTTCCAAGTCCTTCTCTGAGAGGAAAAACTAGAGAGAGAGAGAGAGAGAGAGAGAGAGAGAGAGAGAGAGAGAGAGAGAGAGAGAGAGAGCCCATCTGGCTTGAGCAAAATTTCTCTTGGGTTCTACCTGCACTGTGGTTTGGGGATCCCCAGCCACCAAGACCCTCACCTGGGCGGCCAGGTCAGCCCAGCAGGTAGGGTGGGGATCATGAAGGGTGAGGCTGCCCACACCCATTAGGACCAGGTTCTTGGCCACCTCAGCCCCTAGGCCCTGAAGACCTGAGAGCAGGACCTTGGCTTTCTGAATCATCTGCATAGCCGGCAAGCCCAGCACATACCTGTGGAAAGGAAGTTAAAGGGTGGGCAATTGCAGATGTGAGGCCAGAAGGCCACCCCACCCCCTTACCACTTTAGGTCTCACAGCTGCCGGGAGTATCGCTCCTCATCCAGCAACTTGGAAGTCTTCTGATCATCCATCCTGAGACTTAGGTTGGACAACAGGCTGTAGCATTGAGATGGGATTGCTGTGTAGGAGGCAGTGCCATGAGAGACTGGCACCCAGCTGTGACAAATGCAAACAGACTCAGAGAGTGAAAGATGCTATTGGTCAGAGTTTCTTCCTGGTTCCTCCGTCATTTCAGGGAAAACAAAAGTGAAAGTTAAACTAGACCAAGCCCGGGTCCTCCCCTGGTGGCGAAGCGGTTGAGGACTGGGCTGTGAGGCTGCCTGCAGCCTCTGCAGCACCGGTTCATTCCCCAGCCGCCTGGCGAGGGTCCCACCAAAAAAAAAAAAAAAAAAACAAAACTAGACCAAGCCCGTTTCTGACCCTGCCTCCACCCCTGGGCAGCCTAGCCCTGCAACGAGGAGAGTTCTGGCAGCCCCTGGGCACAGAGAAGATACACCCAAGCTGTGGAGGGCGCACCTCTCTTGAGGACAGGAGTAGCACCCCATGAGGGTTGGTCTCTTGTGACATCTTTAGATGTTCCAATCCTTAGTCCCGTCCCCCTCAGCTGTCCTGCCTGAATAGGCTTCCTGAGCACGGTCGGCTGGTGGGACACCACAGTCCTGAGAACTCACTGGGCCTGCTGTCCAATATAGACAGGCTTAGAGACCCTTGCAGGGCAGAGCTTGTCCCAGCCCAGAGACTGTGGGAGCCTATGAGGTGACATTGTCCCACCCATCATGACCCAAACCACATGGGGTGAAGCCTAACATCTTTGAAAGTAACTCCCCGGTCCTCAGCCATCTCCTCAGAAAATAAGGATCATCCCCTGTGCCCAGGGCTGCCAGACAGACAGCAGCACTAGGTGACCAGTCAGGGTCTCTTGCCAAGGATGAATCCCAGGACTCAAAATGGATAGTCAGTTTCTGAGTGCCAGACCTGAGAATGGGAGGTATGATCACATGTGTCCTTATTTTTCATTTAAACTTTGATTTCAAAATAATTTTAGAGTCAAAGGAAGTTGCAAAAATAGTAGAGAGGTCCTGTGTACCCTTCACTTGTGGATGCCTTCTTAGGAACTTGAAAACAGTTCTCTGGAGAATGGAACACAAAACTCCACAATGGCAAAACCAGATACTATCATAATTTGTTTTTAAATTGAGGTAAAATTCACGTAACATTAAAATAACCATCCTAAAGTGCACAATTCAGTGGTATTTAGTGTTTCACAATGTTGTGCAGCCACCAACCTTCTCTAACTTCAAAACTTTTGCTTCTGCCACTGAACACCCTGACCACATTATATTCACTACCTACCCTGCACCCCGGCCCCCTGGCAAATACTTGTATGTTATCTTTAGGGATTTCGTTATCCTGGATATTTCATATAGGAAGAATCATATAAAATGTGATATCTTTGATATCTGCTTTCTTTCACTTAGCATCATTTTGGAAGTTCATTCAAATTTAGCATGCATCAGCACTTCATTTCTTTTTGTGGCTGAATAGTATCCCATTGTATGCATAGCATTTTGTTTATCCAGTTACATGTTGATGGATATTTGGGTTATTTCCACCTTTTGGATATTATGACAACTTCTTTTATAATCACTTTTTTTTCTTTTTTAAAGATTTATTTATTTATACAAGAACTGGGGTACAGGTCAGAGGCGCAGGAGGGTGAGAGAATTCACCAGAGAGAGCGGGGAGCAGAACAGGCAGATGGACTGAAGAGGCCTGCTACGCCATGTGGGTTCCTCCCTGGCCGGCCGGGAATCGAACCTATGCTGCAGAGGCTGTGGACAGCTTCACAGCGCAGTGCTCAACACGTTGCGCCACTGGGGAGGCCCATAATCATTCTTTAATGTGTATTTGAATAATTATTTTCAATTATTTTGGACAGAATTTTTCTTTGGGTAGGAGTTGAACTGCTAGTAATTTGGCTGGCAGAGTTGAGAGGGTAGGACGGGAGATATTGGTGACACTGGTAATTTGTTGTGCTGGCTGAGTACATCTGTTGAGTTACCTGTGGATAGCTGAGTTACTGAGGCTGGACCTTAGTTTACCCACTCACTTTCCTCCTTATGGCCTCTTGTGCTGTGCCCAGGTTAGAGAGTGTGGACAAAGCTGCAGTGATCTCACACTTTTTTTTTTTTTTTAAAGATTTATTTATTTATGCATACAAGAACTGGGGTACAGGCCAGAGGTGTGGGGGGTGAGAGGATTCACCAGAGACAGAGTGGGAAGCAGAACAGGCAGATTGACCGAAGTACACTGCTGAGGGGAGTAGTGGGCGAGACAGGAGAGGTCCGCTGCGCCATGTGAGTAGCTCCCCGGCTGGGGACTGAACCCGTGCTGCAGAGGCTGTAGACAGCCTCATAGGTTGTGTCCCAACCCCCTGCACCACTAGGGAGGCTCCATGCTGTGATCTCACTCTTGTGAGAGTCTCTTTGCACCCAATGAGAGGGCACATAGCTGGGGATGGAAATGCTAGGTCTGAGTCTAGGTGAAGGTACCTCCTTAGAAAGCTTGCCAGTTTTCCAAAGGGTTGGTACAAATTTACACTTCCAGAAGTAGGTAGAAGAGATTCTGTCTTTTTATTTTACATAGAAATCTTTCCCACATCCTCTCCCCACCACCATCCCCCATTCCTACCCTGCTTGGCCCAGGCCATGCCGAGCAGCAAGTCTGGGAGGGGGCAGACCAAAGCTGCCTGAGAAGCATTTAACACTTTGGACCACACAGTCAACAAAGATCCTGGTCTGGAGGACAAAGGTAGCCAAGCCATATCTGATCATGGCTATAATGGGAGCCTAGAACAAGAGCATGCCCTGCTAGAACGAATGGTGAGCTGGTCAAGTAGGTCCAATATAGCCAGGGTGGAGCACAGAGAGTGCAGGAAAAGCAGCCTCTGGTTACCATCCTTACCCCCTTCTTCTTCTCTATCCTTGCCCTTGGAGCTGGTTCTAGAAGAGGGGCCATGACCCCCAAACACTCTGCCGAGCCAGTCCTTAGCCGACAAGTTAGAGGCATGTATCTGGCCAGGAATGAGACTTGCTGTTCTTACTACCACAGGAAAGCGTCGAGCTTGGGCTGGGAGGGAGGGAGTAGTGTCCTTGTCCCCACTCTCTGCTTAGCCTTGGCCTTGGGCTTCACAGGCAGCGGACGGATTATAGTCATGTCACTCTGAAGGAGATGTCAAGGAAGAGGTTCTAAATAGGAGATTGAAACATAAGGCAGGAAAGGCTTCAAGGTGGTCTGGGCAGCCCTGGGACACCAGGTGAGGTCTGGCTCTGTGCACCTGAGGCTGCAGTCTCTGGACTGGAGCCTGGAGTACAGGTGAGTGGTGGTGTGGGTTCTATCACTCAGTTTAGACCAGTGAAACAATATAAGGATACAGGTTGGATGAATTTTGTCCGGCCTCCAAGCCCATCAAAGCCCGTCCTTACCTAAGGCAGAAGGAAGAAGTGAGAGGGTCAGGCTAATGGTTTAGAGGGTTTGGTCACCCAGTTCCACAAGGGCCAGCACTTTTCACTTGTGGGAAGCCACACTCACCGCATCTGTGCTTCGGCATGGCTCTACCCTGGTCCTCTTGGGCTGCTTCTGGCCCAGGACTGCATTCCGGATGAAGATAGGGAAGGCACTAGCAAGCTCTTCATCTGGCTCTCCCACACAGCACTGGCCGCCCAGTGAGAGCTGGGACTCCTGTAGGGGTGACCCCAGAGCCATATTTGATAAGCGAGGTGGCAGCAGAGGAGGAGGGTGGGTAGTAGTAGTGGAACAGGATCAGGATCTCTGATGCCCCATCAGGAGGCAGGAAGGAAATGAGCAGGATTCCATTCCAAAGGTGGCTCTAAAGTGCCTCACTTCTAGGCGAGGGGTGAGAGGGCTCTGGCAAGACCCTTCCCTCTCAAAAGTCCAACTTCATATTCAGTCCTGCCAAGGGTTAGATGATGATTGTCTAAGCTTCTCTGAGAAACCTTACCTGCTTCGAGCCTTTGGGCATCTTCTTGGGAATGTCCTGAACAGGAGAGCTGCAACAGTGAGACATGAAGGCAAGAGGCAGGTGAGCAACACAGAAGGGGGGAAGCACCTGCCACTACTTTCATGGCTGAGTGCTGGTCAAGGCACCTCAGTGATCTCCACTCCCAGTGCAGATCTGTCAACAGTTGGAAGTCCACAGTCACCAGAGCGGTCAAGGCTGGGGTTGGACCAGTCCTGATCTTATGACCACTACTCAGGGTCCAGCCAATTCCAATGCCCCCCAAGACATGAGGCACCTCACCATGTCCCTGGCTCGACACAGAAGTAGGAGTCCAACTGATTCACCACCCAGAGAAGAAAGGCCAATTATGCCCTGACATAAGCAGAGAGCATCTAATGAAAATCCTCTCCCTAGATAATCTGTGTAGGCAGGATCTGGGGCATAATAGTCCATGGTCCTAGGCCGTGGTCTCCCACTTCCAGTTCCAGAACTGGACATTGTGTTTTCATCCAATTCCTGGGGACCTGAGAAGCTACATACCCTCTTCTAATAGGTGGGATGATGGTGACCAAAAGCTGAAATGGTGGCTTCTCAAGCCATGATCACAGAGGCAGGATCAGGGCCTGCTCACTCTGGATGCCTCCACTCTGGCCGCAAAGGCCGTGGTGAGGCCATATGACAACCATAGGAGCGTGACTCTGGGGAGGCTGATCTGAGTAGAGGGCGTGGTGGACTCCCTCACTTTCCTCTGAAAGTGGTAGTGTTTCTAAGAAGTCTGGCAGCCAACAAGTACCAGGTCTCCCTGACTGCAACCTGAGCTGCACGCCCTAGGTGTTTCTCTCACCTCAGGCCTGGCCCTGCGTGGCATGCGAAGAAACCGATAACCCAGCTAGCTTTGCCTTTTGCCCTCTTTCTGCGTCTCCTCTGCCTCCACTGCCTAATATCTCAATTTCTTTCTCTCCTGTTCAAAGGCTGACTCAGAGGAAACTTGCTCAGCCCTCACGTCCCTCACCTGAGCAGCAGATACCTATGTAAACACGTGGGAAGTTTTCTCTATCATCAACTACACTTGAGATGGCTTGTCAATTCCCAGTGCCACTGCACCCCTAGTGCAGGTTCCACCCACCCTACTGCATTCCAGAGTTTCTCATGCCAACCCTGTCTGCTACTCTCTTAGGTTTGAGATGGTCCTACCTCAAGCATGAGTCTGAGAGCACACAATGGAAGAGGAAGTTCAGAGGTATTAGAAGCACACACATTGCCAGAGCTATCCCTTCTGGAACCCGTTTTCTCTTTAAGTCACATCCCAAGACCTCTGCTTGAAGGGTGGTGATGAATACTGAGACAAGCAAGTAAAGGGCTTTGCACAGTAAGTACCCTGGAGAGGGGAAAAATGACTACAACCCAAACCATGGCCAATCCCAGGTGGCACTTACTCTCCTGTCGACCACACAGAGTTTGTCGGGCAGGGTCTATAGAAATCGCTTAGCCATTCTCCCTCTAGGTTGTGGAAAGGGCCAGGGATCACCACCTACTATGTCTTTTCTATGCAGAGCTTCTTGGCGTGGCTATGCTTGACGCTGGAGGGCCAGGCAGGAGGGGTGTCCTTATCAAAGGTGGCATTGAGGTCAATTTCATCACTGAAGGCTGGTGGGCGAAGCTTCAGGTTCAGCATCTCCACAGGGGCTGGGCTGTTGGCAAAGATGGCCTGGTTACCTGGGATCACAGAGGCAGTCTAGGACAACAGACCCTCAAGCACAAGAGATGGCTGTGACCAAGGGGCCTGGAGCCCATGCCTGGCTCAGGATGACCCAGCTGATCTCTACAGTAAAACTACTTGGTTCAATCTTTCAGTCACAAGACAAGTGAAAGTCTAAACACATGGATGGAAGCAAGCAAAAACCCACACAAAACCCAAATATACAAACAAAAGATTGTTGCCTTTTGACCAAGTAGCTTCATTTCTCAGAACAATCATCAGTGATTGATGTAGAGGGAGGTCCCTTCCAGAACACTTATCACAGCAAATGGCACAGTATTAGAAACTGTCAAAGGTGGGGCGAGGGTGGGGGGAGGGCTCCCTGGTGGCGCAAGGGGTTAAGCACTGCACTATGAAGCAATCCGTAGTCTCTGCAGCACGAGTTCGATCCCCGGTAGGCCAGGGAGCAACCCACATGGTGTAGCAGACCTCTCCTGACTCTCCCGCTGCTCCCCTCAGCAATGGGTTTCAGTCAATCTGCCTGTTCTGTTCTCCCCTCTGCCTCTGGTGAATCCTCGCACCCCCACACCTCTGGCCTGTACCCCAGTTCTTGTATGCATAAATAAATAAATCTTAAAAAAAAAAAGAAAAGAAACTGTCAAAAGGACTCCTGGTGGCACTTCTACAGCTTGAAGATAAGACAGGTAGTAAAATATTGTTCCTAGAGAATAAATTTAGCATGGGTAAATGCTTATATGTTAAAATGTAAAAAGCAATACCAAACTCTATGTAATAGGCTACAAAAGAAAAAAATAGACTTTGTGAAAATTATTTTGTGGCTCAAAAGACACTATCAATTGAGTAAAAAGGCAATCTACAAAATGGGAGAAAATATTTGCAAATCATATCATATAAGGGATTAGTATCCAGGATATAGAGAACTTGAAACAAACAAACAAAAAAAACAATTCAAAAATGCACAAAGGTAATAGCAGCAGAAAAGCAGACTTGGGGGCTGGTGCTCTGGCTCCCCTTCGCCCCTGGCAGGGCACACAAGTGCTCACTTGTACACTGTAGCGTGCCCAGGTAAAGGCAATGCCTCTAGCTTCTGAAGTGGAGCGTTTGGTTTTGTTTTTGCTTTTCCCCATCTTAGCCTCCCCATCTTTGACTACCTTCCTTCACGGCAATCTCTAGGTTGAAAGATTTTTTTAAAATCACCTGATGATGATGAAGTTAAAAGTAAACCGTTCAACTCAGGGGTCTCTGCTAAGTGCAGCCCCCTCAACCCACAGGGTGGGCCACTGACTGTACCACAGCCCCCCGAGGACAACCCCCTAGCCCTCATTGTTGTGGCTTGTCCTGGAGAGCCCTGCAACACTTAGCAGAATAGCCAGAGAATCCAGGATTCTGGAAGTCGCATGACCTTTGGAGGAGAGAGGCAAGAATCAACAGTGGTGTCCACAGGCTGAGCAGGAAGTTGGAGGGAGAACTGTTGAAAGATTTTTTGTTGTTGTTTTAGTTTACTTTATTAATCTTTTCCTACTTATTTTAGTGGATGGCCTCCTAAGTCTCCCTGACCTAGGCTCACATCAGGTGTGTCCGAGCAGGGCAGTATCCCTGTCCTCCCCCTACTTCAGAACATTCCCATAAAGCTGGGCCAGAGTTCACCTCGAGACACCTGCCCACAGTTCTGTGTCTACTGCTCAGGGATAAAGGGATGTGCTGTGGGGTATCTCTGGCCAGGATCCCACTGGGGTTTTTAGATCAGAGGAAAGGGAGCTACCTGCACTAACTTAGGTGAGTAAGCAATCAGGGAAGCCTAGCCAATCTCTTCCTTTCCCTGGCCAGGCCCCTGGAAGCTCTACCCCTTCCTGGCCTACAGTGGGAACAAAGGCTGCAAAAACTCACCTGAACCGAACTCCCTACTGGTTGTTTTGCACATTTCTCTGGGAACCACAGGAAAAAGCAAAAGCCAAGACTACACATGCTAACCTTTTTGTAGTATCTGTTATTCTGCCACCATTACTGACTATGCATGTTCAGCCCCAAGGTAGGAAGGCACACTCAAAAGGCAGGCAGTCTAGCGAGGGCAGCTATTTTGTCTTCCAGGTGGCTCATGCAGAACTTCCTGTTGCCATCCCCTCAGACCTTGCCCAGTGGGGTCCATGGCCTGGGCCTTATTCACTCACACCTCCTTGCCATCCAGAACACTAAATTCAAGGGTTGTCACAGTGTCTCCCTCACATCCACACCTGGAACATTTCTTGTTCTCCAGACAATTCTAGGTAAATCCTTAAAAACCCTATTTTCCTTTCTGCTAAGTGTCTTTCTTCCCTTTCTACCTTCTATCTTTTCCATAAAAAGGTATTTTGACATGCCCAGCTCCCTTCCTTGGACATTATTTCAAGATGAACTTTAGCAAAGCAAAGGAGTAAAGAGAAAGATATAAAATGTGAGAAACAGTGGATCCAGTCCAGGGGAGAGTTGGGGAGTTCTAGGCCAGCTGCCTTGCCACTCATCTGCCCCCTGCGATCAATGGTGGCTCCCACAGCTATCTGTCAGTGTAGAAAACAGGAACTTCCCTGAATATCCACTGAGAGGTGGCTGCCTGGGTGAACAGGGCTTGTGTACTCCACATACTCTGGGTGGCAGGAAGAATACCATGGATCTCTGTGAATAAATCTAGATATTTTCTCCAAGGCATTCCTGGGAGTCACATTTTACAATTAAAGAATGATACCAAAGCAACAAGAAACACCTAAAATCAAGCCCCCTAATTACCTTCACATCAGTGTATGTCTAGGAGGGCACCCATGCAGCTGGTTAGAGGCACAAATCAGTCCCACTAGACAGGTCTTCCTCAAGTATCCCCAACAGCTTCCATTGTCTTCAAGAGAAAATCCATCCTTCAAGGCTGGCTAAAAAGCGGCCTTCGGCTGGGCTGCTTTCTCCCAACCACACCCAGCTGTCATGCCTCGGGGTCTCCACACTTACTAGTTTCACACCTGGACTGCTCTTCATTCAGATTTGATTGTTGGTTGAAGGAATGTGCCATTGAGATCATGAAAGCTTAAGACTTCTTCCCTGTCTTGGGGGACAGCTGTTATGGGAGCAAGGTACAGAGAGGGTCTTTGCGGAACCTGTAGTTTGAGGGCCTTGCCATCAGAGCACAAAGAAGACAGGGGAAAACAGCTCAGAATTCATCAACTATTTTTGAGAGTCTGGGCCCTAGGAGTGAACCCTGAATTTAGGACAGTGCCTAGTTAAAAGAAGGGCTAATGTTAAAAGCCACAGACCTGCCACCCTAACTTTTATGCCCAGAAAAATACAGGAGAAAAAGAGATGATGAGAAGTCCAGTCCAGCACTGTACAGATGTTGGCTTGTTAGCTGTGGTGTCCTGCTGGCTTGAAAGACAGGGGAGAGCAGAGCAGTCTTTTCTGTAAGTGGGCTGCAGGCTCTGGCATGAGACTTACTCAAAACTAAGTGGGTAGGGCCTCCCTGGTGGCGCAGCGGTTGAGCGCTGATCTGTGAAGCTGTCCGCAGCCTCTGCAGCGCCAGTTAAATACCTGGCCGCCGGCGAGGGTTCCACATGGCGTGGCAAACCTCTCCTGTCGCGCTTGCTGCTCCCCTCAGCAGGGTACTTCGTCAGTCTGCCTGTTCTGCTCCCTGCTCTGGCTCTGGTGAATTCTTTCACCCTCCCACGCTTCTGACTGTACCCAGTGCTTGCATAAATAAATAAATAAATAAATAAATCTTTAAAAAAAAACCCCCAAAAAAAAAAAAACAAAAAATCTAAGTGGGTACATCCCCAACTGGAAGCTATAGACCAAACTCCATGATGTAGTATGTTCTAAAGGTCTACCCACAAGATGGTCTCTAAGACCATCAGCTCTCTGAGGGCGTACACTGTACTTGTCAAGCTCCTCACAGAGCTCTGTGTTACCTGGGGCTCTAGGGTGGCATGGACAATGGGCTCTGAGGGTGATGAGAAAGAACCAGAAACAGGGCCTTCCTGGTAGCGTAAGGAGTTAAGCAGCAGCACTAACCTATCAACAACCTCTGCAGCACAAGTTCGATTCCCGTCTGGCCAGGGAGGTGACCCACATGGCGCAACAGACCTCTCCTGCCTCACCCGCTTCTCCCCTCAGCAGTGTATTTCAGTAGATCTACCTGTTCTGCTCCCCACTCTGTCTCTGTTGAATCCTCTCACCTACCCCCCCCCCGCTGCCGTACCTCTGGCCTGTACCCCAGTTCATGTATGCATAAATAATTAAACCTTTAAAAATATATATCCACTGTATAGCCTATAAGGATGGCTCCTGAAGTGCCTTATGCATGGTGCCAAGGGGTCTGGGACATCTGGGTTAGGGGTAGGGGGCGTGCCATGATGTCCAAAGACTGATATGCTGAACAGACAGGAGGAGCGGGGGGAATGGGTCACAGCTTCAAGTGGAGGTAGTGACAAGGGAAAGAGTCAGGGGGCAACACAGAAGGTAGATGGGCAGTCGTCAGGAACTGGTAGGAGGGGGGGAAAGACAGAGCATAATGATTTCCCAAAGGACACTGAAAAGTGGCTCAAATAAAAGGTTGGGTCACTGGGTTATGTGCCTTCTGCTTGGGCCATCGGCTGGGCAGCTAGGTAGGGGTAGCCCTGAGGATACCCTCAGGCACACATCTACAGTGAAACACTCATAAGGAGAAATGAGAGGCTACTCCTGGCAAGGACACATATCTCTGCCTGTTGGCACCCTCTGCTGGCAGCTTAAATGCACACATTCCAGAAACAAGAGTGGAATTATTTCGGTGAGTTGTTTCATGTTTGTCTCAGAATCTGGGACCATAGATGCATTTGACGAGCCATCCCATCATCAGGAGGGCCTGAGACAGTCTGTGCTCCTGTCCCTTCCCAGACCATGTCTAGGTCCTCTCTGCACCACTCTGGCCTCTCCCTGTCCTAGTCCGGAAGTTGCCTCAAAGCTGTTTTCCAGCTAAATCTTGGCTGTCTCCCAGAGGAGGAAGTCCACAGCCATCAGGCCCACCCGGACCACCCACCCCACCAAAGCCAGGAGCAGATAGTCTGACCAGAAGGCTCTTCCAGCTGCATCATACAAGAGGGTCAACAAACCTCTCTAAAACCAGGCGGTTGACAGTCTCACTGTCCACTGGCGGCAGGTTCAGGGTTTCCTGTAGCATCGTTAGCTTTTTTTTCAGGCTCTTAGGGAAGGAAAGAGAAGAGTGTGAAAAAAGGCTGAGACATCAACTCCAGAGAGACTTCCAAGGATACCAGCAACATCACAAAGGGGAGGTCCCTGGGGAACAGAGCAAGGCCTGAAACTGCATTAAGCTCAAGAGCTTAGGACCACCCAGCCTCAGAACCCCTCTCTGGTGGCCCCCTCATCTGGTGACCTCGTGGATGTAGGTACAGGACAGACTGTGAGAGAAGACCCACTGTGCTGGTTGCCCTCTGCTGAGGAGCCCCAGCTCCAGACCAGAGCCAAGGAATACATCCTGAGCCAAGCAGACCCAGGACGATGCAGGGAGCCCAGAACCACCATTGATTGGTGCATAGGCTCCTGGGCAGGGTTAGCCCAGTCTTGAGCTTGGAGGGCACACTAACTCTCATTTCCTATCTGGGCAGGGATATCTCTCACCATGATTTCCTTGTCAGCACTCTGTAGGTCTTTCTGGGCTGACTTCAGCTCTAACTTAGCCTGGTCCAGTTCAGAGCAGACTGTCTGCAACTATAACAAAGGGAGGAAAGGGTGAACCAAGGGGTAACTACGTGTCCCGCCCCCACCTACTGCTACCCAGTGCACGTTCAGGATAGTTCAGGGTCCAGAAGGATATGGAGGGAGACGCTAGCGCTATTGGGCTAGGCCTTAATCTGGCAACGTCCATCTGGAGATTCCCAGGAGCAAGGGCTGCTTCCCATCCCCTGCAGTAGGATGCACACGCACAGAAATGAAAGCAGCTGTACTGACTGAATCAGATTCCAAGAGTCCTCCTACTCTGGGTCTGGTACATAAACAGGCCTCTGAAGTCATCATATTTGGGATTGTGCTCTCCAGCCAGTTTAGGTACCCAGAAGCCAGGAAGAGTAGAGGGGAGCATAAGTGTGTACATACTGGGGTGATCCCTTCATGATCTGATCCCCTAAGTGGACAATCCAAGCAATCAGAGCCAATGCCCAGTAAGGACCAGTAAACAGTCTCTGTGAGTCATCCAACAGCATCCATGGAGTCGGGTGCACCATGAGGCCCATGGCCTTGCTCAGAAGACATAAATGAGTACAAAAGGGACAGTCACCTCTCCCCTCACCCTGTGCTCCCCATTGTGTTACCTTGTTTCTGGAAGAAAACAAGTCCTTCCTCAGCTTGTCAGCTAGCTCTCCTGAAGCCTTCCGTGCCTCTTTTAGATTCTCGTACTCTCTGCAAAGGGGCCACGGAAAGATACCAGATCACAAGTCCCTGTTGATCAGACTGAGCCATAGCACCAATTGAACACAAAATCCAGTCCAAGCCCTTAGGCCCTTTTCACTCCGACTCTGACACCTGAGCCCAACAGGGACAAGGAGGTCCTGCACTCAGTGCAGGGAAGCTGGTGAAGTCTCTGTTTCCTGCCTGACTTGCAGTAACTGATGATTTGAGAAGGTGTGCAGGAAGCCCTGGCCCCACTAGGAGGCCCCATATACCACCCAGCCCCAACAGGAGGCATCTGGGATCCTCAGTGTTGCCAACCAAGTGGTCCTTTTCCCCAACCTCACACCCAAAGTAGTAGAGAATGCTAGCACAGCTTTGGATGCAAGCCAGGCAGGGTCAGTAACAGTGCTGATGGGAAACAGGTCCCAAAGATCATGGTGGGGCTTGTAGGTCAGATAGCTGTGCCAATCTCCTTGGAAATAATACTTAAATTCATACTCAAGTCTCTCAATCACCCTATCAGGAATGTTATTACTTTATCTAATTAGGAAGCTGAGGGTCAGAGAGATAAAGAAACTGGCCACACATGAGAGATGGGGCCAGAGGTTCATACAGAGGCAGCATGGCTCCAGAGCTTGCCCCTGAAGTCCATCTACTCTGCTTTACCAGCGATGGGAAACAGACAAAGAGGCAGGGCTGGGGTGCCATGGGTTAGCTCCTAGGATTGGAGAGAGGGGCCAGAGTACACACTTCTTGAGGGACACGCAGTACACAGCTAGCTGCTCCACCGCCGACTGTCCCACACCCATGTCTCGGATCATCTCCTCCACCTCGGGCCGCTGGCTCTGGAGTAGGAGATCAATCCTGAAAAACACCCGGCCCACGGCATTTAAAATCCGGAGGCTGATGGGTAGGTACCCAGTACAGCGCTGCCTCTCTTTGCTGCTGTTGCTATGGTGACAGCCTGGGCTGCTAGGATGCTTTAGCAGGCGGGTCTGTCCAAGGAAAGGCTCCACAGCAGATCTGAGCATAGCTGTAGGGATGCTGCCGGGGAAGAAGGGGTGCTGAAAGAGGGTCTCAAGGTCTGGGATCTCAGGAGAAACGTTCTTAGAGCAAAACCCCTGCCAGGCCATCTGGCCAAAGGCATCAGGGACAGGAAGGCATGTGGACAGGGTCCCCATGGAAAGTAGTGGAGCCCATAGAAGCTAAGAAAGGAGACCTGTGCCCAAACCCAGCTATATGGCCTATGGAAAGTGACCCAACCCCTGCTGCCATCCTGAGAGATGTGCCACCGAGGGGGCCTGGCCACCTAGGTGGCCCTGCCAACACGGGGCAGGGCACAAGCTCCAAGTTCACCTCTCCATGGTCTTCATCTTGCTCCTGAGTCGGCGAGCCTCCTCCCGTGCTTGTTTGGTCTCATCCTGCTGCTGCTCCAAGTACCTCATCTGCTTCTAAAGAGCAAACACACCCAGACCTGTTGCTGGCAGGCTCCCAGGGGCCATGGCTAAAGTCACTAGGAGACCGCCACCCTGGAATTGTTTGCATTTGAAAATGCTAACAACTACATGCCCCCAACACCTGGAGGCTGCTGAGTTTCCCTCTACTTTGTTATTTTTCTGCTAAGAAGCCCAAGGACAACTGCTTCTTTTACCTCCCTGCCTAGTTCCTCCTGTGATATGTCTTATCAGAGGCACAGCCCACTATATGCTCATCGTGGGCTGCAGGGTCCCGTGACCTGGACCTCATGGCACATTCCATGCAGAATTCTGAAGAAGCCCAGTGTACAAATTCAGGTTTCACTCTCCACCACCCACAGCCACAGACCATTGCCAGATAGGAGAGCTGAGTAAGCAGCAACTGGCTAAACTGCCCTCAGCACAAGACCACTCCATCTCTGGGAATGCCATCAGAGACTCCTGCTCCGCAGTTAGGTGCTGGTTTGCTTCCACCCTCCCAAGGGACAGGTCACACGATCCAGCCCAGCCACCAGGCAGGAACAGAGACAATGACCATACTGGGGCCCTGTCTGTTCGCAAGGATGACTCCCTTTCCCTTTCAAAGGGCATCCAGTAAGGACTGCTCCTTCCTACAAGGCCAGAATATCAATTACAGGTTCAGATCAATCGCCTCGTGCCCGTTAGAGAGCAAGAGGCTCACCAAGTCAGGCTGATACAAAATTCATCTAGGTCTAGAGCTGCTTGCTCCACAGGCTTTGATCTGCCTGGTCAGCTCAGCATAGCTGACGACTTCAAAGGCCCCTTGCTCCTCCCTGGGACGTTGTTTGATCCAGCTCCAGAGAGCAGCCTGACGAAGGACTACAGTGCCAAAAGAAGGTTCCTCAGACTGGCATCATTGGTGGAGTACAAATCACTTTTGGAAACATGGTCCTGCCTCACTCAGGTCTTGGCTGGGCAGCCCCTCCATGAAGCACTGGGAAGGCCCCCACGTCTCCAAACTAGAGTACACAACCACAAACATATGCAATATGGCCCTTTTCTTATGGATGAATACACTATGGGAGAAATGGAGAAGATGAGATTTGCCTCCATTTTACAATTGTGCAAACCAAAATATCGACCAATGCAGAAGATAATAAGCCCAGAGTGGTGAGCCCAGGACTGGGGCTACATCTCCCCACCAACTTGTGCCCACAGGACATGGGGACCCACCTTGAGGGTGGAGCACAGCATTTCAGCCTTGTCTAAGGCTTTCTGCAGAGATTCCACGGTGGCATTGCGCTCTTCCAGAGTGTCCCGCAGAGTGTCAATGATGGCCTGGCTGTCTCGTTTCTCCTTCTCTAGAGCAGGGGTGAAGGGTGGAGGTGATGGGTAGAGGCACATCTACCCATCAGCCTGAGAACCTGGGCCCTTAGACTCTAGAATCCACCTCTGAGGCAGGTTAAGGAACAAGTCTCAGGCCAGAAACAGGTTCCCCACCTCTGACACCAAACAAGGGAAGTAGAGAAAGCACCATTTCATTCAAGGGATGAGTTCCTCTTTCTGTTGCTAGGAATCATTTGCATAAAGGTTTCACTGTTTCCCATTTCCATGGATCTAGTTAATCATCCCAGACCTCAAGGTAGTTTGGTTCTGGCCAAACTCAGTGGCTGAACCCTCTCCTACATATTTTCTGTGCCATCAGATAACCCCTGTCCAGTCTGGGTCCTGGGCAAGAAGCCCAGGTAAAGATCAGAGGCTTACCTGGACATGCTGGCTCACTTGGACAAGGTGGACATTTACAGTCACCCCTCCTCTCCTTTTTGCCAAGCACAAGAGCTGGCAAGATACTTGGACATACAAAATTGGGCGAGCCCCTTGCTTTGCCAGAAGATCAGAGGTCTTCCTCCCCATAGCCTCTCCCTCTAACACCTAAGTCAGGAGCTTCTCAGGGTCCCTTTTCTCTTGCTAACTTACCTTTCTGGGAAAGCTGGGCTCTGATAGTGTCCAGTTCATTCTGTAAGGCAATATCCACAATAAAGAGAGGAAGGCATCATTGCTGCCTCCACACAGCCTCCTATAAGGCTTGTGGGAAGGCTCACCAGGAACAAAGAAGCCTATAGATCCAGGGATGCATGTACTTCAATGCCTGCTTTATCTCTCTATCTTTCTAAAAAGTAGATACAATGGAAGAAAATAATCTTGGGAGCAAGACCCCAGGAAAAAAGCAGAACAGGAGCAAGAGAAATGAAGTTGGGCCTATGTGATCAGTCTCACAGCAGGGGCTTCCATCATTTCCTTGGCCCTATGCTGGCTCTAGGCATCAGCTACACAAAGTCGAGATGGTCAAAGACCTAGGTCACCATTCCTTCCCCTGGGGTCTGCCTGCTTCACAGTGCATGCTCTCCAAGCTCTAAGTTGGCTCTGTGGACCAGAAGCCTTCTGGTCCCAGAATCTAATAGGGTAGGTGAGCTACCATGACAATTTTGCACCCTTGATGGAACCTCACACATGCTAGGCTCTAACCAGGGTTAAATGAGCCTCTCAAAGGGAAGGCATACATTCTAAAGTGACTGCCACAGACCCACTGAGAGGCAGGGGCAGAACTGAGCCCAGATGCCATTGAAAAGTTCAGAGCATTCAGCACTCCTGTGGGGAAGAGAGGTAACTAATTTATAAGCAAGAAATCCAGGCTCTGCAGAACCAAAGGGCTTGGCCAAGGGTTCACAGTGATTGCTGGATGGAATCCAGACAAATCCTCCTCCAGATCACCACCCCCAAGTCAATACAAGACTCAGAATCTCACATGTGACTATTACTAAGGCTCTACCCCAGAGGGTAGACATGTCTCTAAACATCAAACTTTCCACCCAGGAGTTCGGGGGTAGGAGCTTTTGGTGGTTGCTCTGGTCCGTAATAGAACACCTAGGAGTGGAAGTGATGGTTAGAGAAAGGCATCCATGGGTTGCCTGAAAACAGACACCAGCCCTAGGCTACTTTTAGTCCTCTGGGTCTTTCTGTACCTAAACAAGGTACCATCCTAGCCCTTGCTCCAAACCATTGAAGATGTTGCGGCCTTGTCTCCCAGATCTGGCTTTGAAAGCCTTTTATAACTACTTTTATCACAGAGGACATGCTCTAAAACTAGGAACAGTCATGATGATAAATGTGTTGGCTCTAAACACAAAAGCTGTATGTGTTGAAGCAGTGAGGTTCCAGGGACATCATGGAAGCCTGGGGAAAAGGTCAGACAGGACCCTGATCTAACAGATACCCAGAAAATTAACCCTTGGAGGCCTAGTTCACTTAAGAACCCCAGTATCACTTCCTCAAGAGGGCTCTGTCAATCCAGCCCCCTTGTCACCAAGAAAATTGAATCTTATACTTGAGGGGAAGCAGTAGAAGCAGTTTATCCTCTCCTGTAGCGTGGGTTTCTACTTTGGCTATACATTTTAATGCCAAGATATTGTCCTCTACTAAAAGTCTGGGAAAGACTCAGGCACCTGGCTTTATCATGTTCCCCAGGCAGTTTCACACATCTTCTCTGGCTGAAATGTCTCTAATCGTCCTATCAGGTAAATGGGCTAAGAAAGATGACTGCAGATTCTCTGCAAGGTGAGGAGAACTTGGGGAAAGGAAATCTGCCCTTGGGTCAGATATGCCCTGAAATCCCAAGGAGAGGATTCACAGCAAACTTGCTCCCTTCATTCCTAACTGTGTTTCTCCAATGACTGGGTCTTACCACTTATCATCTGCTCTCCTTGCCTATTCCTTTACCAAGTCTCCCTTCTAGAACTCCATCTAGATACCCTGCCTGGGTAGGAGCAGAAAGTGAACTCTCAGAGGGTTTGCAGTTCAGAATAAGGTAAATTCTAGGTACCTTTAAGAATTCTGCATCTAAGACACTCTCCTCCTCCTGAGCAAGGTCAAAGAAAAGTTTATTGATGATGGATCTTCTGCCAACCTGGAAGAGAGAACAAGATAGCATATGACTGTATAGTTGTGTCATGGGCAAGGAAGACAGGAGTATATGTGTAGCCTAGCATGCAGCCTGACCTATTTTCAGGCCTAACCTTTCATAGCACATCTCCTGAAGTCAGATGACCACTGCAACTGTTTAAGAATCCCAGCTGGAGTCACTGGTTTTCTGGTTACTGAAGTCATGTCACTGAAGACCCATGTAGGCACCCCAACTCTATGTGCTAGGCATTAAGGAAATGGGAGAAACCAGAAAAGGAAGCCAAATCTACCCATGTGAAGACTGATCCAGGTAACAAGTACACTTGCCAGCTACCCTTGAGCATGAGTAGGCCTCCTGAGTCACTCCAAGGCACATGTGAGGCTCAACAGGCTTCAAACAATTAGGGTCCAAAAAGGTCAAAGATACTTGATTGGTTTCAGAGATCTCTCCTCATTCCTGCTCTCTGTCGAGGAAAAATTGTCTTCAGCTGCAGTGGTTCTACCCCACCACCCTCACCTGGATTCGGCACTGTGGGCAAGTCCGACTTGGTGCTGTCTCGAACCACTGAATTAGGCTAGAATGAGAAGTAGAAAAACATGCTGGTGAGCCCTGGCTGGAGTTCAGGCATACAGATCAGTAGCTACCCTGACTACAGTGGGGTCTGTCCTGCTCCTCTCCCACCCAATATCTACCCACACAAGAGGGCAGAACCACTAAGAGTGAATGCACATCTCACAAGACCTAACTGGTACAAGTACTCGAAGCAGTATGGTCCTTTTATTTTTTTTAGGAACCTGTTAGCTTGGCCCTCCCTACTCCTGAGCTGACCTTTTGTTAACCTTCTAGGCTTTAACTAAGGAGGCAATGGTCAAAACCCAGGATCAATCAGAGATGAGAACTTCCCCTACTTTAATCTGGAACTCTCAAAGGGCTACGCTTTCAAAGTAAAGGTAAACCAGAAGCAAAAGCAGGTAGCAATAAATCAAAACAAAGCTCAGCTTTGCATCATCTATTTGCGTGGTCCAACAAAATCTCAAACATTAAGCTTTAGTCTCCTACTAGTGGACTCTCTCACCCCCAAGGACCAGAGAGAAAAGGAATCAATTCTGGAAGATACCATCAATCTAGGCCTCAAATATTTTTTTCTGTAAATAATTTCTCAAATGTTATCTATAATACATAATCAAAGCTAACCACGTAGTATGGAAAATGACACAGCAATGAGAATGAATGTGCCTACAACTAAGAACGTTATGATGAATAACACAAACACAACATTGAGGAAGAGAAGCCAGGTTTTTTAAAAAGTATATGGTGTATGTGTACATTTACATAAGGTAAAAAAAAATAAGCAAATTTTATCTATGCTACTGAAAGTCAAAATAGTGGTTACCCTTATGTGAGCCCTGGCTTGAATGCCGGTATACAGATCAGTATCTACCCTGACCACAATGGGGTCTGTCCTGGGAAGAAAGAAATGGGTGGGAGTGATGGGAAGAGTGCATGAGAAGGTTTCCAGAGTGCTAGTGTCTGTGTCTTGGTCTGAATTCTGGGTGCTTGGGTGTGTATGGTTTGTGAAAAATTCTCCACACCATATATTCATTATATGTGTGCTTTTATAGAAAATGTATTATATTTTAATAAAATATATATTTTCCTGGGCTTCCCTGATGGTGCAAGGGGTTAAGCACCACACTATGAAGCAATCCACAGCCTCTGCAACACGAATTCGACCACCGGCACCCCCGCCGGCCAGAGAGAAACCCACATGGCGAAGCAGATCTCTCCTGTCTCGCCTGCTGCTCCCCTCAGCAGTGTATTTCAGTCAGTCTGCTTGTTCTGCTCCCCACTCTGCCTCTGGTGAATCCTCTCACCCCCCCACACCTCTGGCCTGTACCCCAGTTCTTGGACGCATAAATAAATAAATCTTTAAAAAAAAAAATAAAATATATATTTTCCTTCACAGAAAGAAAAAATACTACAAGTGCAAACCAGAACATATCCACAAAGATTTCAGATATTGGAATTATCAGACATAGACCATAACACTTTGTTAAATAAAAATTTAAAAAATAATAATAATCAAGATTGAAACAATCAGTAGAGAATTAGAAACTAAAAGGTGACCGAGCAGAATTTAGCAAGAACCAAACAGAAATTTTAAAATTGAAAAAATGGTCATAACTAGGAATTCTATTGTCAAGTTTAATAGCATTTCAGACATAGTTGAAGAACTGGTAAATTGAAAGCTAGGTCAGAGAAAACACTGAGAATTTAAAAGTTGGGAAAATATGTAAGAGATGATAAGAAACACAGAAGATAATTAGGAGTTTCAGAAAGAATTAGGTAGAATAATGCCTGTCTGTGCTACCTTATATTACATGAGTATGTTTGCAGAGATGATTAAGTTTCTTGAAATGGAGCAATTATCCAGACTTGCTCATGTAATTACAATGGTCCAAAAAAGAAAGTCTGGCGTGTTAAGAGATATAACAGAGAGAAATGAAGGTATAATACAAATGGATTTGAAAATGGAGAAAGGGGTTATGCAACCACAGAAGGTAAAATCCTACGTACACCTTGATTTTAATCTAGTAAGAAACCTCTAGGGAAATTATAAAACATGTTGACATGAATTAGAATGAAAATACAACACACCAAAAATAGCAAAAGCAGTGCTAAGAGGGAAGTTGATAGCTGTAAACACACTTAATAAAAAAGAACACATCTTTTAGGGTGGCCATTAAAAAAAAAAAAAAACAGAAACAGAAAATAGTAAGTGGTGATGAAGATGTGGAAATGGGAACCCTGTGCATTACTGGTGGGAATGTAAAATGGTACAGTCCTAGGAAAACAGTAAATCATTTTCTCAAAAAATTAAATATAGAATTAGCGTATGATTCAGCTCTTCCACCTCCAGACATAACTCAAAAGAAATGAAAGCAGGGGCGTCCCTGGTGGCCTAGGGGTTAACACTCAGTGCTACAGCTGAGTTCGATCCCGGGCCAGGGAACTAACGCACATATGGTGCAGCAGACCTCTCCAGTTTCACCCACTGCTCCCCAGTGTATTTCAGAAAATCCACCTGTTCTGTTCCCTACTCTGTTTCTGGTGAATCCTCTCCTTAATGTGCAAACTCACCTCTGCTGGGGCTAACAGTTTTGAAATTACATTTCTTTGCACAAAGAATTTAGGTTGTCCCTAAATTGAGTCCCTACTATTCACTGAACCAACTTATTCGCACCCCTGATTTAGCTCAGCTGTCACATCCTGTGGGCGGCCTAGCCAGCCCCGTCTCCGCCCAGGTTAGAGACCTCCCGTGGGGCTCCGTCAGGTGTGATCCTCATCAGCCGTCTGCAAGCCGACACAGGTCACTCACCATTGCAGGTGGAAGGTGTGGCCGCAGTGGATGGCGGCCACGTCGCGGGAATGGTCGAAGAAGTCGGAGCATATGGTGCACAGAGCACGGATAGGCATGATGACTGGACTCGATAAGCCCAGATAATCAAGGACTCCACGACCCGTCCAGCTTTGGGGCCGCAGCCCCGCGACTCCGCTCACTTCAAATTTGGCTCCACGGCGCGACTTCCTGGAGTAGGCCGGAAGTGACCCGATGGGGCGGGGCCTGAATGTCGGTCTGGATTGGACAGCCTCCCGGGGGCGTGGCCTAAGGGCCGACGGCCGTATAGAATCGTGGGGCGGAACGGGGTACAGTCCATAGCTCCCTGCCATTTCTAGTAAGTCAGCTAGCTGTTACCGCAAGGGCGCAGCGTTCGATTGCAACCCCGAGCTTTTGTGCCCCCGACCGGGCCACTTTCTAGAGCTACAAAGGGAGTTATGAGCCCAAGCCAGAGCTTGGTGCGAGGCGGGTGGGGAACGGGCTTCACAGCCCTATTCTCTCAAGAGCAGCCTTCACTGCACCTGTGGAGGGTCGGGAAGACAGTGGCCCTTGGGGAATGGGGCGAATTCCGACAGAGCGCGGGTCCCCAGTGCTCTGGCAGCCCCTATTTCTCAGACCGAAAGAATGCTCCACCCTCTCAGCCCTCAGCTGTGTGGTCCTAGAAAGATGGTCATAGGGGATAACCACCCCAGGTTCTCCCTGGCTTTATCCAAACGTGGCATGCCACTTCCTAAGTTTGGAGGCCGCAGGGCCATTACCCCGACTTTAGCTCTTTTTAGCTCCACGGAGGATCAGTTATGCCTCAGGACTATAGTAGGGTTAGAATTTTGGAGGACTTAGATGCTTAATTGACCGGTGACTAACAAACCCTTTTTCTTTTTTAATGTACATACATGGGTTCTAAGTATAACAAAATCCCTTTTTAAAAAATATTTATTTATGCATAAAAGAGCTGGGGTACAGGCCAGAGATGCAGGGTGTGAAAGGATTCACCAGAGACAGAGTGGGGAACAGAACAGGCAGACTGACTGAAATACACTGCTGAGGGGAGCAGTGGGTGAGACAGGAGAGGTCTGCTGGGCCATGTGGGTTTCTCTCTGGCCAGCTGGGAAAGGCTGGGGATCGAACTCGTGCTGCAGAGATTGTGGATTGCTTCATAGTGCGGTGCTTAACCCCTTGCGCCACCAGGGAGGCCCAACAAAATCCCTTTTGAAAAAAAAAAGTTTTTCCCATAAGTATCTGGATTTATTCCACTGAAAAAGGATTGTATTTACCGTCAGTGAGAATTAATGTTAACTAATGGGATGCAAAACATTGTCAAGGAAATTTCCTATGCCCAGAAAACTTTGTTTCCTTTAAAAAAAAAAAAAACATGGAGAAGTTATTGTGACTATCTGCTATCTAATTAAGGGCAGGATCTCTGGTGAATTCATCTGGGCCCTCTGGGCTATAAAGTCTTCCCAACGTGTTCAGGCTTACTATTTTAGCAGCATTATTTCCCCCTCTCCAGAAGAAATTTTTTAGAACCCTATAACATAAAGCTAATCTGTTCCAGCCAAAGGAGACCCGGAGTGAAGTCCTTTGGGGTCTATTGTGGAAAGCACAGATGTTGTTCACAAGCAGGAAGACTCAACACTAAAGGCTAGCATAGAGCCTTTGTGCAATACCCACCCTGCACCCTCTCCCTGGCCCAGAGAAGCCCGCTTTGGTCATGGGCAAGAGCTATGGTAATTGGCCCTTGGTGGGTTCCAGTTCAATGCCTGAGTAAGGACAAGGGTTCCTTACTCAACAGAACTGTTAGAACAGCAGCCCAGAGGTTATTCCTTAGCACACCCAACACCCACATAGATTTTTGAGTCCAGAGGAACCCCATCACCACCATGAAGGAACACACTGTGGGAAGGATGATGTGCACTCAGTCCGAGCGAGTCACACGGCACTGAGCATGGCCACTTAACTACCTGTGAACTTACTCCCAGCTTCTCCCCTCTCCACTACCTTCCATGGTCCCCTTCCCAGTAAGACAGAGGAAGCAAAGGCAAGAGGGTGGCCAGAGGCTTTGGCAGGGTGACATTTATTTGCCAGGTTCAGCAGGCACACAGCCCACAGACCTTCATACATCAGAGCAGACCCACAGGCATGCAGGGGAAAAGGGCAGAACTGCCACCATAGTGCTGAGCAAGGTCCAGGACCAGTGTGGCTGCCTGCCCAGGCTGTGGTGGGGTCTGACAAAGGGCACCTGCCAGGAGCCTCCCTCGGGAAACTAAGGAGACTTATTTCACTTCCTCAGCCCAGCAAAACAACTCAGCATGGCTTAGAGGCACCTGGGCATCTCTTTACCCTAAAGGGGAAGGGGGCCATAGATACAGAGGTGGTTCCTTTCTATTTTGTTGTTGAACTGGAAGAGCAAGAATCTGCCCCTGTGAAGGGCAAACCCCCAAGTCAGACTATGGGACACAGCCATGTGCCAGACCCCTGGATAGAGAGAACTGTGGATTGAGCCCAATGCGGGACATCTGGGACAAGCAAAAGGGGATCAGCCTTCCCTGTCTGGCTCAGAGTAAGGGCCCAGCTAGGCTGGCACACTAAATGCTGGGCCTACACTCTGCCCTCCCTGTTCTCATAGCCACATGCTAATTGCTCCTCCTTCTTATAAGCTCATGAAGCTGAGGGCACAGGGCAACCCGCTGCAGGACTCAGGAGGCAAGAAATAATACAAGGGTCATGGGAAGGACTGCCCAGGGGCAAAGATGGCAAACTCTGCCCTCTCATTCATTCTCTTCCACTTCCGAGGACCCCCAAGGCTACCAATGAGTGCTCCCAGCCATGTGACCAGACTTGTCTTAAAGCAGAGTGCCCTAGATCTTTGCATTCTCTATACCAGCCTGTGTCTACTAGAGCAGTCAACATATCTTCCCATAGGCACACACCTTTATGTGCCAGAGCCTAAGACCACTGACAGAGCCTCGCTGGAGGACCAGCTCTCAGGGCAAGGCCACCCAAATTTAGGGCCTGGGAGAGGATGGGACCTTCAGGGCCTGCCTGGGGGAATTGGAGGCAAGGGAAAGGGAAAGCGGGGACCTCCTGAATATCCCTAGAGCAGCATCCCACAAGGAACAGAAACTGGTGAAGCTAGCAGTAGACAGAAAAGCCACAAGGAATCCATGCAGGGGCTGGGCCAACCCTGCCTCTGGCCTGCCCACCACTCACACACATACACACAGGAGATAAGACTGCTCTCCCGTGGCCCCCAGGCATGCCCCGCACTGGGAGGCATGGGCAGGGGGGAGCGAGGGCATCATGCCAGTGAATCTATGTACAGTGAGAAGCCCCTCATCCATTTCCCCACCCTCCTGCCCATCCCTCTTCCCTCTTCCCCCCTCCCCCACCAGCCTGCCCACTCAGCTGGCCTCCTCCCTCCGAGACTCCTGGGCAGAGCCAGCAGCCTCTTCCCCTTTACTAGTGGGTGGAGCCTGGCCTGTTGTGCCCTCTGGGGCTGAGCTGTCCGGCTGGGCCAAAGCCGGCTCAGGGATGGCAGCTGCCTTGGTGGCTGGTGTGGCACTGCTTTGGGTGGTAAGCACGGTGCTCTCTTCTGTGGCTGGTGTGGCTCTCCCATCAGTGGCTGGAGTAGCACTCCTGTCGGTGGCTGGAGTGACACTCCCATCAGTGGCTGGGGTAATGCTCCCATCTGTGGCTGGGGTGACACTCCCATCAGTGGCCGGGGTGGTACTGCCATCTGTGGCTGGGGTGGCACTACGGTCTGCAGGAGCTGCATTATCACTCTTTGTGGCAAGAGCAGCGTCACCTGCCGTGGCTGGGGTGGCACTGCCCCCAAGCCCTGGGGCAGCTCCACTTGCAGCTGTGGCCCCACCTGCAGCCTCAGGGGTGGCAGTGTCTGTGGCTGGGGCAGACTGGGCTGCAGCCGCATTGGACTGCTCTGGTGCCCGGAGCCGTTTCATGAGGGTCGTCACTCGGACAGCTTTCTGAAAGGAGAGGCTCAAAGTGAGGCTTACAGAAGCTGGATCCATTCATTTGCTAAGTTCAAACCCAGACCATTCCATGATGTCCCGGCTGCCCCTGGCCACCCCAAGAAGAACTCAACGGACCAAGCTGCTCAGCAAATGGGCTGAGGTAATGGCAGTGGCCAGAGTCATACCTGATGGCTGGAGAAAAGCCTGTGCGTGGCTATAGGGGTGTGATGCAGGCAAAAGTCTGTGCGTGCCAAGAGTACTTGGGATCAGTCCAGGAAAGGGAGCCATTTGGATCCTTACCTTCCACTTAGCTCTGGCAAAGTTCTTTTCAATCTGGGCACAGACACCATCCTTGATGTTCTTATCAGAAGCAGCATTGCCAGAAATCCTGGAAAGGGTGCAAGCACGTCTGGATGTGAGGGGGCCTTCATGCAAACTCTGCCCAGTCTTTTCCATGTAAGATCAAGGGATTACTAGAATCTCCCACTCAAGGCTTCAAGGATGGGGCTGCTGAGTGTGAGGACAGAGGCCAAGGGAACCCTAGCCTCTCCCTCCATCCTCCCCAGGCCATGCTTACCACTCGTGGGAGATGGCCTCTTCTGCAGTGATCCTCTGGTCTTGCTCCACCTCCATCAGCCTCGTGACCAGGTCTTTGGCTGGGGACAAAACCAGGGAGAGGCTAGGCATAGGCAGTCCATCTCAATGTCTAGAGGTGATGAATGGGCTGGGGAGTAGGAACAGAGCTCCACAGAGGAGGCTGAGAACAGGTCCCCAACACCAACCCTTTATTCTGCCCACATACTGAGCCTCTCCTCACCTGCCTGGGAAATGTCATCCCAGTATGGAGAGTCAAACTCATAGTCGCCAGCCAGGATCTTGCGAAAGAGATTCTTGTCATGGTTCTCATAGTCGTCCTCTTCCACCTCCTCATAGAAAGGTGGGTTCCCTGAAAGCCTGTAAGGGGGCCCAGGACAGGTTTACCAGGAAGGCGCTGGACACAGGTCCCCTCCAGCTTGACTGTAAGCCCATTTGCCCACCCACTCACTCACAGGATGTACATGATGACTCCAATGGCCCAGCAGTCCACAGGGCGTCCATACCGCTGCCGGCCAACCACCTCCGGGGCTGTAAACACAGCATCCATCTACGAGTCAGTATCAGATCTGGTAGTACTCATACCCGCTTCCTGGAATGGGAACCTCCTTCTCCCCTACTCAGAGCTACACCTTGAAGGCTTTCTCCCACTCTGCCGCTCCCACCCACTGCTTGCCCAGGTACTCCGGGGTTCCACACGGCTCCTTGATGAGACCATTCTCCAGCTTAGCCAGGTGGAAGTCACTGATGACAATCTTTGAGTTCTTCAGTCGGTTGTAGTAAACCAGGTTCTCCAGCTGCTCCAGTCACGAATGGCATGTTAGGGCGGGGAGTAGGAGGGGTTGGGGATTGAAGAGGAGGGCAGAGGAAGAGTCCATAAGAACCTCAGAGTCTGGACCAAAGCGCTACCCACCCCAGACCAGGCAGCTGCCAGATGACCCTTTGACCTAATTCCTGGCCTCACCTTGAGGTTCCTGTGCACGATCTTGAGTGAGTGCAGGTAGGCCACGGCCTCCAGGACCTGCCGCACAACGTTGCTCGTGTCTCGCTCCGAGTAGTAGCCCTGGTCCAGGATCCAGTCAAACACCTCCCTCCCCGTGGCCCTGAGGGACACCAGCCCCTGAGCCCGGCGTGGGCAGGTTCGGGGGTGGGGCAGGAGCACTTGGGCAGGCTGCTTACACCAGGCAGCTGGCTGGTCAAGACACAGGGACCTGGGACCCCAAGGGTCCGGAAAGGGGGCTTTCCCTGGATGCAGAGGGTAGAGCAGGTAAAGGCCCTGGGGACTGAGGAATCCTGGGACCCCAGACCCAAACTCACAGCTCCAGGAAGATGAAATACTCTTTGCGGGTCACAAACACATCCACCAGTTGCAGGATATTGGGGTGTTTTACCCTGGGAACAGAGAGGGGCAATAGCTAGGGCTGGGTGAACCTCTAAGGCAGTCTCTGGTTGCCACTGTGGGCAACTACAGACTCACTTGCCAGAGGTTGGTACTGCTTGAGACCACCTGCCCTTGAAGTCCTTCCCTGCCACCTCCCACCCGACGCCATCCCCAGGCCTCACACTTACATCTTGAGGATGCCTATCTCGTTCTTGGCTGCCTTCCGCACCTTGCGGCCATCCCGCTTCTGAAACTTCTTGCAGGTGTGCAGTTTGCCTGTTGTTTTGTCCTTGGCCCGGAAGATCTCACAGAACTCCTCACTGCAGGCAGCAGGCATTCCATTCAGTCCTGGCCTCAGTGTGGGCTGCACTCCACTCCCATTTCCCCAGCCCTCACCCACCCACCGTTGCCCACCAGACCCAGCACTCACGTCTTGATGACCTGTCCCAAATCATATCTGTCAGTCACCTCCGATGGCTGGTTGTAGTTCTTCTTGTCGCCCAGAGTCACACACCCAAACGGCATTGCCGGGCTCTGAGCTACGGGCAAGATGAGGTCTGCTCAGCTATACCATGCCCCTTGAGTCCCCACAAGACAGAAGTTACCTCTGGGAGACCCCCAACTTGGCTTAGGTCAAGCCGGAGGCAGACACTACACTGGAAGGGCATAAGGGTGCTCAGCATCTTACCCCTGCTTTTCTAGCCACATCTCCAGCCACTCAGCATGGCCATCTGAACTAGAACATGAAAAATGGCATAGCAAGAAATCATTCTGGGCCTCCCTGGTAGCGCAAGGGGTTAAGACACAGCCTATGAAGCTGTCTGCAGCCACTGAAGCACGAGTTCGATCCCCAGCCAGGGAGGAGACCCACATGTGCAGCAGACCTCTCCTGACTTGCCCGCTGCTCCTCTCAGCAGTGTATTTCAGTCAATCTGCCTGTTCTGCTCCCCACTCTGTCCCTGGTGAATCCTCTCACCCCCCACACCTCTGGCCTGAACCCCGGTTCTTGGATGCATAAATAAATAAATCTTAAAAAAAAAAACAACAACCAGGAAATCGTTTTGCATTACATACACTCAAAAAAAGATTTATCAAGTGATTTCTTTATATTTCAGATACGATTTCACATGACAGGGGCTATAACTACCCACCCATCAGATATATAACTATATATAGTTATATGGGTGGCTATAACTACCCACCCATCATCTCTAAAACTCTGAAGATAACAAATGTTGGAAAAGTGGAGAATGAGCACTGCTGGTGGAGGGTAAGTCTCCTCTTTGGAAAACAGTTTGGTAAAACTACTGAAATTGAACATAACCTGTGATCCAGCAACTGCTCTGCTAAATATATGCCCCACAGAAATATATCTACTTGTGCATTAGGGCACTCAGATCAGAATGCTCACAGTGGCAACATTCACAACTGCAAACAGCCCAAATATCTATTAAAGAGCAGATGTGGTGCAGTCATACAATGGCATATGACACAACAATATACATGAAGGAGCTACAGCTCTGCCCAACCACACAGTGACTCTCACAAACAATACTGAGTCAAAGACACAAAGGAACACAAGTAGTGTGATTCTACTGCTGGAGAGTTCAAAACAGGCAGACCTAACCTGTACTGGTTTGAGGATAGAGGATATAAACATTCTAGCAAAACTATAAAGAAAAGCTAGGAAATAAGCACCAGAAGTCTTTCTAAGAGAAGAAGAATTGTGATTAGGTCAGGACTTGTGTGTTTGTGTGTGTGTGTATGTTGTGTGTATTGGGGTAGAAGGAGGGGGTTTTGCAGATCCTACTTCAGAACAGGGGTGGTGGTTTTACAATAACTTGGTTTTATAATAATTTGTAAAAACATACAAGTTTTGGGCACATTCCTAGATTTTTTTTTTATATTTCACCAAAAAACTGTTAATAAAAAGTATGACCATCTGTGAAGAATACTTGGTAGTTACTAGGATGAGTAAAGGAGATCAAAATGTGCTGCTGTAGGAAGACCTCTGAGACATTATTAAGTTGAAAAACAAGGAACAGAATGGTGGGTAAAGGGTGCTGCTATTGGGTAAATTTTTAAAAATTTATATACTGCTGTACACTCACAATCTCTTTTTGGGAAGGACACCAAAGAGAATAAGAGTTTTATTTGGGGCAAAAAATTGGGTATCAGAGGGGCAGATTTATATTTGTTCATGAATTGTCTGGTAGAATTTTTACTTTGATAACTTTCCTTGGTTTTATAAATATTGTGTTCAGGTATAGTGCTGGGGGATTCCTCAGAGGGAGATCCCCGTCTGGATGGAGAAGCAAGGAAAGGCTTTAAGGAAGAAGCAGCATTAGGGCTGGCTTTAGAGGGGAAGGATTTGCCAAAATGGATACAGGCAGGAGTAATGGTCCAGAAAGGCAAAGCAGGCCCGCCCAGTGCCTCACTTCCAGAGCCCCTGGGGGGCCTTGACACCCAGGTCGAGAGAAGAGGCCCCTGATCATGAATAGGTATTCCAGACACAAGGGTGACCACATGCAACTTATGCATTCGGCTTTCAGCACTTTGGTATCTGGGGCACGGAGTCCCACTGGTCTGCAACCCTGCCAGCCCAGTCTGCACCTGTGGTGCTAGGTGTATTGGTTCCGGCACCCAAAGAAAAAGGCACTTGAGGCCCTTGCTCAGAGGTAAACTTTGGGAAAGGAGTTTGTGATAGTGTCTGGAACTTTGCAAACGCTACCCAGAGTCTGCCACCATACTCCTGGTCAGTGTGACGCCAGGGACAGCAGGCTCTGCACTGAGGCTGCACTCAAGCTGCTCTGCCTCTGCTGACAGTCAGCACTCGCTGTGCTGGGGCTACCTAGATGTTCCCCTACCTGGAGTGACTCACAGCCACAGAGTAGTAGAGGGGAAGAGAAAGCTACCCCCAGAGGAAGCAGCTTTGGTCAGAGGAACTCTGCCAGTCAGGGTCAAAGGCCAACATCCACATAAGCCCCATGGTCATCCCTGGCTACTGCTTGCTTCCTCCCAGGTAGAGGCTACCCACTACCCAGGCGTTACAGTCCTGGAAGTACTCCCTCAAATTTGCCGTTTGTATTAGGAAACAAATTCCATCCTTCCCTCATCTGGGGTATTCGGGTTCAGGGAATGCAAACGCATTTCATCAGTGCGATTTAAGCCAGGGCTTAAACCATCTTTCCTTGCGGCACTGCAGAAGCAAACAAGAGAAGCTTTGAAGATTCTCCCTGACTGCGTGTCTTTGCCACCATGGTCACAAGCCCTGCTCCTGCGTCTGCTGGGGAGGAGCATGTGTCTGGAATCCCACTCTCACAGCTGAGAGCAGAGGCACAGCCACCCACCACTGCCGGCCACCCATCTTCATGCCCTAACAGTCGGGGGGGAGGGGGCCTGCATCAGTCCCCTCAGTGACTCTGCTGTACAGGGGTTTCCTTCGCAGTCTGGGATCTAAGGGCCACATACTGGGTGGGAGGGTGGTACCTCAGTCTACAGGTCCCCTGGGAGGCCTGGGAGGGATCTGTGTCCCAGCTCCATTGCTTTGCTTACACCATTCCCTTTAGTGGGAATGCCCTTCCCCCAAAGCTTCCCATCAGCAAGCATCCTATTTGTCACGGCAGAGTTATTTATAACATAAAAAAATCAGCACTACCTAAACGTCCAACAACAGGTGACTCGCAGCTCCTCTGTGTCCACTCAATGGCAGGAAGTGTGGGCACTGACAAGGGCATTGCCTATCTTGGCCTCCCTGTGGAGCAGCTTCCACGTGAACTAGGTGCTGAGACCAGGACCGAATCTCTTCTTTCATTGGGATTTCTGACATTTTAAGGCGGTTTGTGCGACACATTGTCTAAAACAATCCCGCCGCTCCAAGGCCAGACTCAAAATGGCCCTTCTCTAAGATATCTTTTACTATCTCCACCACCTCCCCCCACCGCACCCCACCCCAATAGCTCCCTGCTCTGCTGCGTGGCGTGGGAGGTTTTGTGTGTGCCTGTCCCTGATCTTGGCCCAGGTTTCAGCCATGCATATGCATGCCCACAGGGACCCAGGGCTGGTCTTGGGGGTCTGTCTCTGCCATGGTCTTTGTGCACAGTCCCATGAGCTTGGAGCTATGTCCTGAAGCCTCATGGCTAGGGCAAGGACATATCTGCCTCCCCGAGCAAGACTGCTCTGATCTCAGTCAATTACTGCTTCTCCTCACCACTCTAACTGCACTGACTTGCCCCCAGTCTGGCCCCAGGGCAGAGAGGAGGGTGGTTGCTTCCAAGTAGTGCCATGGCGCCCTCCTCCCCAACCCACTTCACCATCTGCTATCCACTGCTGCTGCCTTGGAGGCTGCCCTGGTGTGTGCACCAAGCCCCTGGTACCTGCTTGCAACAGAGGTAGGGGGCGGGGGGCGGGGAGCTGGCCCCAAAACTGGGAGGACCAGTCAAAGTACAGCTTCAAGAACTGTGGAAGGCCAGGTAGAAAAGGGTTTGCATTTCTCAACCCCAGGGCCCAGATAGCTGGGACCCAACACCCAATGCTGAGAGTTCTCCCAGCAACACAGGACCTGAGTTCTGCCCCCAGTTCACAATGGGTCATGGGATGGTATAGGAGTTCCACAGCAGATACACAGCTCTTTACATTCTCTGCAAAGAAACTGAAAGGTGTGTGCAGGGGCTGTCCAAAGGGAGCCTGGAGGAAGTGCAAGGCCTGGCACTGCTGCTACCCTCCAGCTGGCCTGAGGGTCAAGCACTCCAGTTACTGCTTGGGTTCAGACAATTGAGCCTCAGGCAACCCTAAGGGGTCCTCTGCCTATAAGGGATAAAGGGAGCCCTAGGTTCCCTACTGCAGCCTTAGGCAAGCGTTAGCCTAGGAAGCCCAAGTGGGACAGAGGCCTAAAGACCCAAAGGTTCCACATTGGAGTCCCATTCCCTTCTCTGTTGGAGTCAGCTGGTTCAGGTTCCAACTTTTGTTGTCAAAATATATAGGAATTTCTTGTTGCACTGGTCCTCAGCCATGTGGGGCTCCAGAGCTTGCAGTAAACCTAGGGAGACCAGGAGGGGCCCAGGAGGCCTCCAGCTGCCTGCCAACAACTGTGGGCAACACCTCCCGATTTAGTGGCAGCTGTGAACACCAGCCTGCAGGCACCCCCTCCCCTTCCCTGTTCTCTCTCAGGGACTGGGGCTAGGCTTCCTGCTGCAACAGCCCCACAGCTAAGGCCTCACCAGCAGGACCAGAGATTAAAAGAGTGGGATATAGAGATCTCAAACACCCACTGCTACAAGGAACTCGGCAATAGGTTGCCTTGACTAGGCCCCAGGCTCCAGCTAAACAGTGGTCCATAGTTCATGGGGGACAGGAATCTCTAGTCCTTGGGCTGGGCACAGTCCAGTTCTGCCTCCAGAACATACAAGCAGAGCCAACTGGCTCCTCCCAGGCACCTGGGGTCCCAATCTTTGAACCCATGAAGGAGAATCCACTGGGGCCCTGCTTCCCTGTGGGTAGAGGAAAGGAAATACAGGGGAAGGCCTCAGAGTAAAGAGTTGCTATGGTAATAGAAGTTTTAAATCAAGGAGAGGGGGAGGGGACAGGTGTTGGTCAAACCCCTTATCCAAGAATCTCCTGGAATGTTGGCTCAGTGCTCCCCACATGTTCTGTAAATCTGCTCCCCATCCAAGGATGGGGAGCTGGGAGAACTTTAAGAAAGAGAGGGGGGCAGGGGCACAGAGAGACAATGACAGAAGCTGTGATAGGAGGGTAGCAAAGAGGCCAGAGAAAAAAGGATACAGGTGCCACATCACAGGAGGGGTAAGTGAGAAGTGGTTCCCAGCAGAGCCCTAAGGCCACCAAGGCTGAGTGCAGTGAATACCTGCACCAAGAGTGCCCCGGGTGCCTAGACCTCAGAGACTAAACCCTCTAAATCCTCCAGACACCCTGAACTTGGTGTAGGAGCACACCCATCACCCTGGGGAAGAGGCCAGCCTTTGCAATCCCCTCAGTCAGAACAATGCTTCAGCCCCTCTCCCAGTTGCTGAGTGTAGGTAAGGCAGGTCCAACATGTGGAAGGCACAAGCATGGGGGATGGAAAGTAAGCTTGGAAACCTAGCTGCTTCCCTTTACACTCCTTCCTCTCAGCTGGCCTAGCACTGCCTAAACTCCCCAACCATGTTCCCCTCATCTGCCGTCTTCTCCAGGCCTTGGGTTCCCAGGGCCCCTCTTGCAACCCAGTGTAATTCCCTGCCATTGCCGTCCTCCTCCCCAGTGGATCTTGTCAGGAGGACAAGCAACAGCACCTTTAGCAATCCCCAAACAGGATAACAACCCCCGCCCCCACCATGCCTCAGTTTCCCTGGACAGAAATCATAGGCTCTCTGTCCCAAAGCAAAGAATGCCCTCCCGCTAGTAAGTAGTGGCCAGGACAAGCACTAGGGAGAAGAGCCAGCAGTAGATATGGGAGGTCAGCCCGTGGTACTTGGGGGTCACGCCAAATGCTGTAAAAGGGGAGAGAGACCTGTTCCCCACCGCAGGACCCAGTCTGACTCAGGGGAGTAGAAACACTAATTCCCCAGTGGGGGAAACTGGGGCCCAGCAGGTGGCTAAAGCTGCCAGGAAGGGGGATGGGGAGGATGGTAGCAGATCTTGGCAGGTGGTTCTGGGGGGCTCAAAGCCTGGGTTTTGGCTTGAAGGGTGACAGGACGGACTGGGTTGTGCAGACTGAGCTCTGGGTCAGGGAGAGTGGACCCTGCTTGCTAGGAGGGATCTGGAGAAGAAAGCCTAGCCTAGGAGGTGCGGACAAAAGCAGTTTGGAGACGCTGTGGGGGGCTGGGAGAGCCCAGGGTCTCTGCCAGATACCACAGACTGGGAAGGCAGAAACTCACTCCCTCATTGTCTACCCCGCAAGCTCCCCCCACCCAAGGACCCTGTTCCCTACCGTGGTGCCACCCTGACCCCCTTCCCCAGTGCTGCTGACTCGCCCCCGCTGGCACAGCAACACACATGCGGAAGGCACACGTGTGAGCACCAAGCCCCGCACAGAAACATGTGCGTCCCCCACCCCCACCGCGCAGCGTTGGGTCGGTGCCCTGGGCCCCCAGCTGGCCCCCCCCCCCCGTTCAGCTTAGGAAGCTCGATCTCGGCAGGGGTCTTCGGGTCCCCAGGGTCTAGAAGCCTCCTCCCCCACCCCGCGGCAGCCCCGCCCAGCCCCCTTCAGGTTGTCGCCCATAAAGAACTCTCCGTTGTCATGGAAATTAGTGACTGCTTAAGGGGAGGGAGGGGGCCGGGGGCAGCTGGGAGGGGCTGGAGGCGGCTCTGGGAGTCAGAAGAGACGGCTCACCCTCCGCCCCTACCCCCAAGAGGCACCACGGATGTTCATTCGAGGATTCATGTTTTCACAATTAGGAGCCCAAGGAGAAGAGGGTCGAGGGGGAGCCAGAACGGGAGATTCTCCTGGACTTGAGGCCCGCAGGCGTCCCCTGGGACCCCCGAGCCGTCTGTGGAGATTGGGAACTTTAGCCCCAGCCCGCACGCCGACCCCCAGACCTGTAGACCCCGCGTGCTCTGCCCTCGCGGGGCCCCCAGACCCGAGCGGCGCCCCCGCGCACTCGGCGTCCGGAACCTCGAGCTCTACAGACCCAATCCCTCAAGACCCCCGCAGCGTACATTCCGGGGCGCCCACCAGACCCGCCCGCCCCGCACCTGCAGCGCCGGTCCGTCACAGGGAGGAAGCGATCGCGGGTTCAGTGGGGCGCCGAGGGCTCCGGGGGCGGAGGGCAGAATCAGCTCCGGGCACGAGGGGCAGACGCGGCGCCAGCTGCAGCCGCTCCGGCTCGCGAACCTCCAGCATCTCCCGCCGCTTGCAGGCACCGGATTCGCACCCCGGGCCGGGGGCGGGCTGGGGCGGGGCCTCGCTCTACCCGCTCCGCCCCAACCCTGGAGGAGCCTGAGGCCGGATCCTGCTTGAAGGCGGGCAGAGAGGCACGGCCAGTGGAGTCGGTGAGCACTGGCCTGGCCCTCAAAACTCCCTTACGCCCTCGGACTGACAGGGCGAACGGGACGGAGGGGCTTTTCTATCCCATTTTAGGGATGGGGAGTAGAAGGTGTGACAGGAAAGCCTTAGACCTGGAACTGCACAGGAATGCCTTGGCGGATAGTAGTCTGCAGGGCACCTGGGCTCTGCCCAGCAACCAAAATCTGACCCAAAGGGCGGCACCCACTTAGAAGAAGCAAGTCGCTGGGACAAATTGCACTACAGACTGACATCTCCTAGCCACCGGAGTGTGTGTACAGTGGTTAGTGGAGCCACCAGACTATGGTGGCAGACCCTCCTAGTGTGCAAGGCCTCCGATTCTGCAAGGCCAAAATACTTCCCACCCCCAAGTCTCAGCCACAGGAGTCTTCAGCCTCTTATGTGGAACTGAATTTTTCAAAGTTATAAAAAGTCACCTATGACATGGTGTGGCTTCTGCTTTCCTCCCAGTTTAATCAACCCCAAACACTTGATGAACAGCGTTGCCATCAGTGGCCTGGACTGGGATATGGGAAGACAGGAGAACTCTAGCACCAAGTTGCCCTATCAAATCTGGCCTCTGACTACAGGAGGATAAAAACTGCCAGGAAGAAGCTCTGAAGAAAGTCCTTGGTCATTTCTCTGCTCCTTGTCAGGGAGGCACATGGACCCAATGTTTACCCTCCCCATCCCACCCCAAAAAATCCTGAGGCTGGTATCTGAAGGCCAGACATCAGCTTCTTGATGTCTGAAGGTGGGTTCCACCCTGACCCTCCCTGTAAGCCTCTGACCCCATTTTGGGTGGGATCATCACTAAACGCTTGGCCATGTTGAGTCAGTCTCCCCTGTGTGGCTGGCTCCCCATGGGGGCTGACAGGAGGGGCTGCCCAAGGGAGGAAGCTGGGGCTTGAGTTGGAAGGCTAACCTGGGAAATGACTGTTTAAATGGGCCCCTCGATATCTTCCTTCACAGTGGGTGTCAAGCAGGCCTTTACATCCTTCCCTTGCTCTTCCAGGCCATACTGATGCCACCTCTGGGCTCTCTGGGCTCTGGGTAGTCTCAGTCATGACACCAACCCCATCACAGGATAGGAATCTCCTGGAAGGCTGGGCATCTGCAGGGCAGAGCCTGAGGCTCATCTCAGTATGCTCAGTTTGTGTCTGCAGAGTGAATGATGGCCTGGTACTCATTCCTTCCTGTTGCCTGCCCACTGTCCTTGACACAATGATTCTCTGAGTTGTTTGGTGTAGCTAAGCCATGGTTTCCTGAACCCCCGACCCAATTTGTCATACACATTTCTGTCTTACCTGAAGGTTATGGCTATCCAGGCATGAGGCCAAGGAGAAGCTGAAGTGGGGGATTCAGAGGCAGGGGAAGAGGTGGCTCACGAGAGCTCTGCATGCTGCTGGCAGTGCTATATCTCTTCTTGGTCCTGTGCACATTCCATGTGCCTGTGGGTGAAAGCACGTGGCAGGATATGTGTGCACGTGTGCGTGTGTGAGTGCATGCACATGCACGTGCTCTTATGCTGAAGGAGATGACAATAGCAGTGTGTGCAGTGGTGCCCAGAGGCATGTGTGTCTACATCATATGCATAACCCAGCAAGCTGGCTCGCATGTGCATATGGACACTGTGGCTGGTTCCTGGAACCTCTGGTCCCTGGTACTGCCAGTTCCCTTCCTGCCTGACACAAGCGTCAGGATTGTGAAGGCTGTGTCAGGGTGTGAGAGTAGAAAATGGGAAGAGGCTGGACCATACACCCAGGGCAGGTAGGGGCCGTGATGACCCTACTTCATTGCATATTTCTAATCTCCACTTGGGAAAGACTCTTATGCTCAGGTATGTGATGGGTGCCCAGAGTTGGGACTGGAACATGGTTTATCCTAGGGAGGCACAAGCAGAGTAGGGCCAAGTTCAGTGTTTCAGTTTCAACCTCCAGCTGCTCTGTGGGCAGAAAGTAGCAACACTAACTGAATACCATCCTCTCAACTATTCCAGGTCACGAGCTGGGCCAACACAGAACTTTATACCTACCCCAACTATTTAGAGCTGGACAAGGTCAGGGACCAATACTTCTAGCCACCTATCCCCCACCCCCTGGCCAGAGGAATGGCAGGGGGCCCTTCAGTCCAGGGAAGAGTTTGGCAAACTATGCAGGAGGAGTTGGCATTGGCATTTCCCAATAGCTGCTGTGAGGGTCTCTCGAGAAGGCCTGTATGCTGGCCGCCCTGTGGGCAGGGACGGCTAGGGCTGGGAGGCTGAGAAGGTAACCCAAAGTTAATAGTTCTGAACCACTGGAGCTAAACAGTCAGGGAGGAGGATAAGGTATGAACCTGCGTATCCACAGAGCCATCCCCCAGCTCATGTTATACCTCTTCCCCAGGATCCAGGACTTAACTCTCCCATCATCCTGACTCCCTGCCCCAGGGCACCAAAGGCCAAGCACTGTCATACCCTCATATTCTCACTTACCCAGCAGACACCCATGCAACGCAGCATAAAACTCCAGCCAAGGTTCAGGCTTTAGGAAGTACCCACATTACCAGGCCAGGTCCCCCAAGAAGCCCAGTCTGATAGGGACCCTCCCTTGAGGACAACAAATGCTCCAGGGTCCCATCCATCTTTGGAACTATTAAGCTATTGTCCATGCTACTGGCCTTAGCCCCCCGTAGAGGGCCCAAGATGGGGGAGGGCAAGCAGTCTTTTCCTCTGGAGCTAGGGGAGGGGGCTGCCCCCCTTCATGACTCACTCCAGGCTGTGTGGGTTATTACATTATGTTTGAAATTGCCATGGCAACCAGCTGGCAATCAAGGGTAATTGCACTTGTCACCAGGGCAACGGGGCAAAACCCACAGCAGCCACTCTCTGTGGTTGCCCTTGGGGTGCACTAAAGGTCAGGCTAGACCAGAGCCAATGCCAGCCAAAGGGTTCTGGGGTTCTCTGAAAAGATGGGATTGCCATGGCCCACCAAATTCCAATGTGCAGAGACCAGGTATGCCTTGGGAGTACCAGGACCCCCACCCCTGACCCCTGCACCACCCTGTGTCTAAAACATGCCACAGTGCTCAAAGTAAGCAGAACCAGAGCTTTTATGTGCTCATAGTTGATACTTGTAGATGGCCCATGGGCCCTCCTCCTCGTACTCACGGCGGCTGAGCCACAGGTTCTGGAAGGAGTCCCGGGATGCCATGATGGAACCTCCAAGCCAAGCAGCAACTGCACGGTGAGGAGAGCCCAGCACAGTGGCATGAGGGCCCAACTCCCGTCTCAGGCGCTCAGGAAAGCCACTCACCAAAGTGCTGCCCCCCTCCAGCACCACATTGGCCAGCAGCTGCTCCTGCTGCTTAGCCTCAAGCCGGCTAATGCTTAGGAGGGCTAGTTGTGGGAGGCCAGGCTGGTTGAGTCCTAGCAGACTGGGTTGGAAGAGAGCCTCAGGGCAACAGAAGCGCTCAGAGCCCAAGGTGATGACCTGCTTGTCTGGAAGCACAAACTCCACCCGGGCCTGGGCCTGAGTGCGGGCCATCTCAGCTGCCATATCCATGGCCACATAGCAGCAGGCCTCTTTAATCTGGTTGACCAGTCCCGCCTTTGGCGGTGAGTGGCCGCCTGCCAGCAACAGCTGAGACAAGTATTCCGTGAGGTCACAACCAGCCACATCCAGCCGATAAGTGTCAAGTGGGGCAAGATCCCCAGTGAGGATGGGCGCCACATAGGAGGTGCCATAGCCACTGCCCAGCACCAGCCCAGTGGTGCGCCCGTAGGCATAGAGGGCCAATAGGGCTTGATGAACTGTCTGCATGGCTGGCACATGGAAACGCTCAAAGAGTATTTCAGCCACCTTTTCCCGGTTGGTGCGGGGTGAGATGGGAGAGTCGGCCACCAGCACAGCCAGCTCCTCTGGCTGCACACCCAGCCTGCAGTAGAACAGGTGCTGCCACAGCACTTCCAGGGCATCCCAGTCAGAGACCACGCCTCGGTTTAACATCGAATGGGAGCCATCTCGGTTCTCAGGCACGGCATACCGGGGCTGACCCTGGACCGGGTGCTGCAGCAGTTGGACACGTGAAGGGACTACACTGAGGACATGGTCCTCTCCAGCCAGTCCACATTTGGTGAAGCCTGTGCCTGTGTCTATCACCACAGCTGCCATGTCCTGATAAGGACCCAGTGAATGGCGACAGAGCACTGGGGACTGCACTGGCAGAACATCTGTGGGAGACACCAGTTCATAGCAGGCCCCGCGGAGCAGGCCAAGTTGTGCAACCACTGATGAGTTTGTAATGTCCTCAGCTTTCAGCTTGAACCGGACATTCTGGGGGTCAGTGTCCACCATAGCCATGGGCAAGACCTTGCAGCTAGGGCTAGGTGTGGTGAATGTGATCAGGGACAGCTGCTCCTCCTGGGCTCTGGGGGTGTTGCTAGGTTGCCATGAGAGCTGATGTGTATTGGAGCTTTGAGCATCTCTGATGCCGACCTTTCCTCTGTTCACACAGACACAAGTGTCCTCAGGGGCTAGGGGCACCCGAAGTACCCCCATATTGGTAGGTCGGCCCATGGGCTCACCTTCCTGGCACAGAGTAGAGGCCTGGATTGGCTCCCTTAAGAGGGAGTGCTCTTTGGTGATGGGGTGTTCTTGGGAAAAGGGAATCTGCCCAGTGAGAGAAAGCTTCCTGGCAAGAGGGATCCCGGTGAGATGGGGATAATCAGGAAGGAGGCACTGCTTAGAGGAGGGGGGCTGTTGAGAAGAGGGGGGTTGATCTTTTGGAGGGGGCTGTCTGGCAGTGCGAGTCTTCCCTGCAAGGTGGTGCTGCTCAACCAGTGACGGAGGGCAGCAGTGGTGGGTTAGTTCAGCACCTTTAGCCTCAGGGTTGTTAGGGTGAGCAATCA